CAGCACTTGACATCAAAGCGCTGTTTAGAATGGTGGTTCTGGGGCCATCATTCTCAGGGAAGAACAACTTATGTATGTTCATTCTCAAGCATTCTCCTCACGTATTTGCTCCTCTAACGATCATTGCTCGTAATCCTCACCAGGAGTTATATGAGTATTTTCGTGATAAGCTTGATGGCTTTATCACATTCACCGACCCTGACTCGCCTCCGAGTGTTGAACGGGTACGTCATACACCAATTAATTCCAATAAGCCTGAGCTCGTCATCATCGATGACTACAGCAACGATAAGCTTCTTCAGAAGAATTTGTTCTCACATTACTTCACTAGAGGGCGCCACTGCAAGCTATCAACCATCTTCTTGAGCCACAGCTACTTCGCAACGGACAAGATGATCAGATTGAACTCAGAGTACGTAGCGATCCTGAAAGCTAATTCTAAGCGAGACCTCCATATGGTTGTGAAAGATTTTAATATCAAGTGAGTAGATGAGCGTTCAATCGTCTATTATTACAACAAAGCCACGGAGCGAAAGGGCCAAATGCTCTTCATTGATTCGGTCAAGGGTCAGATCAGGTATAACTTCGATAGACCGATTCGTATCGAGGACTAATTCCAATTTATCAAGCAAAAATATGCCTACAAACATATAATCAATATGTCCAGCTTTATCAAACTCGACAGCACCAATCTGGTACAAGATGGAACCAATTCAACCTGGAAATACTCCTTTCCCGGATCGGCGGCTGACTTCCGCGATGTAGTATGTGCCATTCAATCGATTTCGATGTATAACAGCGAGTATAACATTGATTCAATGCAATTTCAGAACACAACGTTCAAAATCGAAGTACCTACCGCTGCAACTACATCCACAATCAGTGTATCCCTCCCTGATGGTATTTATTCGTATGACGATATCAACCGAAGCATTCAGAATGCTCTTGTCAATGCTGGGGCGTATCTAATCGATCCGTCGGGGAATAACGTATTCTATATCAAAATGAGTGCTAACAGTGTCTATTACGCTTGTCAGCTTGATTTCTCCCCTACGCCTACAACTCTACCAACTACCGGTGGAACATGGACCAGACCTACCTCCGGTTTATACTCCTCTGGTGGTACTGGATTGCCGACTACTACTCGCGTTCCTCGACTGATCATCGATAATGCTGAATTCGGTAAAGTAGTTGGTCTCACAGCGGGTACATACCCTCCACATCAGCTACTGTTGCAAGTGCTCAGCTATCGAACATCATTCCTCAGATTCACCCGACCAGTTCCTACATCGTTCGTTGCGATCTGATAAAAACGAATACGTGGCTTCTGGTGATATTGTCAGTGCTTTTGATAGAGGTGATGCCGCTATTGGAAAGGTCATTTCATACAAACCGAGCCAGTATGCGTGGATGAACTGTCATAATGGCGCTCGAGCTAGTATTACACTCATTATCTATAACCAAAATGATAACAAAAGTGATTTTCAGAGATACGTCGGTATCTGTCATGCTTCTGATTCGTCCAATTAAATAAGACATCCAGAGTATTTTTTAGGGCGGCTACAACGTAAACGAACCACAAGTCTTACGACGTGCCCTGAGCGCAGCCATCTTAGCCTTCATCTCTGGCGAACCCGTTTCTTTGCTACGCCTACACCATAGCGGCGACGAACCTCCTTTCGCACAGATCTGATTAGATCCTCATGTTCCGGCTTGGTAGCTTTTGATAGTAGGAATTTCTCTCCAGCATCGACCGCGTCGGTGATGACCCCCTTGCGCTTCGTGTATGCAAGAGCATTCTTTGCAGCCTTCTTTACGTCAGCCATTGATACGCGACTTCCTTCCTTGTCGCTATCGGAATCATAAATACCAATGCCGGTTAGGGACTTGATTGCAGCTCTGGCTGGAACAGCAGCCGTTGGCTGACCAGCATAAGTAGCTAAAGCAGGAACCGCCGCATCAACAGCTCTGGATAGTAGACCTCAATCCTTAGCAAATTTGTATGCAGACTTGATCCCTCCCCATACTTTGGACCAGATAGAGCCTCCTTGAGCCTTTTTGTAGCCCTTCTTCACTTCGTGCTTGGTAATGTCGAGTCTGACACCGCGTCCAGCTTTACGAGCCTTGAGTGCCTTTTCAAACGAAGCAGGGTGGAGATGGATGACTGAACCACTACCCTTTAGTTCGCTTGAGGTGAGGCTGAGCTTACCAGTCTTGAAAGCTTTGGTAAGCTTCCGCGCAGGAATACCACTGGAGATTGTTAATTCGCGATACATGATTACTATATACGTTGAATTAAATTTATTCCAGAATTGTCAAATTTAGATCTTTCATTGTTTTGAATACATCTGGGTATTGCTTCGAATATAGCCATAGGACACAGAATGGTCCACAGTAGTCTCCATAGGTTCCTTGGTATTGCTTGGTGTTGTATCGATCGATACCATACTTCTTTGGTGGTCCTTCCCCCATACTATCGAAGAATTCACCATTATGAACCGCCGTCCAGTGTCCTACCTCAAGATTAGGAGGGCGAAGTAGAATCAGAAATGACCCTTTCTTGGGGGATGGGACTTTATCTCATTTGATTCGAATATATTATCGAGTTGAACGTTCATTTCTCAGCGAGTTCGATGAGATCATGATCTGAGGTGATTGGCTTGATGAGGTGCGACATAATATTTAATTTTATCAAACTATATTAGGATCCATATAGATTCAACAATGAGCGAAACTCAACTATCCGATCAGTACTTGTACCAGAGCTCGCTTAAGAGCGAACCGGAGATCAAGGTATCTTCGAGCAAGCGTGTACCGCACGTTATTGACCTAAATCAGGGTTCGTACCAGAATGGTGTCATCACTATCGATGCTACGGCTCAGCTTAACGGTTCCGAGGGCTTCGCAAGCCTTCGTGATGCCTACATTATGCTTCCCTACAAGGTCTCAATGAAGAATGGTGGCACTGCTCAAACTGCCGCTGCCAATCGTCTATGTGCTACTCTAAAATGCGGAAATTGGAACGTTATTGATAGTCTGAGTCTGGAACTAAACGGAAAGACTATCGTCTCTATGGCTGACTACAAGCTCTTTTGGAACAACGTTCGTGCTCAGACTGGCTACAGCCCTCAGTACGTTGAAAAGCACGGAGCTGAATCGTTCTTGTACCCTGACGCTGCTCAGTCGGTATCATACAGTTCTGGACCCGCATCTACCAGTGGTGATGGATATTCAAACACCATGGTATTCTCGTCTTCCTTTGCTGTCTCGGCTCCTCCTGGTGGTGCAACTATTCCTAATGATGGTTTCGTTAAGCGCCTTCTATCGAATCCTCCTACGGCTGGCGCTGACTTCTCCAGCTCGTGGCCGTCGGTAGATGGTGCTGCTGCATCGACTACCATTTCTAACCAGACCTCGCGTGGATCTTTCGTAGCTGGTGGTACTGCTGCTAACGCAATCATGGGAACGTGGAACTACATGCTTAAGATTAAGCTCACCGATCTGCATCCTATCTTCCGTGAGCTTGACTTGATGGCTAACCCTCAAATTCGCCTGCGTTTCCGTGTGAATCAGGGAACGTCTGCAGTCGCGGTAGATACTTCAAAGGGTATGTCGCTAACCTCTACTACTCTATCGTCTGGTAATAGTTGTCCGGTCATGATTGCCGCTTCTGCTACCGGTAATTCGATGAGTGGTGTGCTTGCCGCATCTGCTGGCTTTAGTGTTGCTTGGGGAGCGGTTGTAAATGCTCTTGAACCTACCATCGATGGTACATACATGCCTTTTCCTACTGCTCGATTGTATGTCTCTTTCGTTCATCTTGAGAACCCTCAAGCTATTATCTCTAAGCCGGTTAAGAAGGTTCGCTACAATTATTGCTACGCACAGTGGTTTTACCAGCGTGCTGGTATTGGTAAGTCCTCGACTCAACTAAATGCTTCTTTCGATCTACAGCTATCGGCAAGTGTTAAAAACGCGAAATATGTTGTGCTTTTACCATTCGCGGAGCAGACAAACAATTTTGCTTCTGCTACTGTTCAGCAGTTCCAGAGCCCCTTCGATAGCTCTCCATACCCGCTTCAGCCCGGGTCGTCGATTCGCAACTTTAACGTTCGTATTGGCTCGACTCAGGTGTTCGATATCAGTCATGACTATGATTTCCACCACTTTACCACCGAAATTGCTAAGATTTCAGCGATTAACGGAGATCTAACCCCTGAGCTCGTAAATGGTCTACTTGACTGTCAGACGTGGTCGCTCACAAACCGCATGCTTATTGCCGATGTCAGTCGCCTGACTGAGCGCGATGTACCTCAGGCTATTCAGATCCAAGGAACGAATGCTGGATGCCAAGGTGTGAATATGCTGATCCTCGTAATTAGCGAACAGGAACTAACGTTCGATACACTAACCGGGGAGGTTCTAGACTTCACTACAGCGTAAGTAAAAAAAGATATTTTTTAGTTCAGTTCCTTGAGTAGCTTTGGACACTTGTCAATCACGAATTGACTTTTTCTTAGCCAATCGAGATAGCCTGGATCCAATTTACTGATCTGCTGTAAAGATTTGCCTCGATACTTACCCCACGTCATCATATAGAAGTTATCGTTATTTAGGAATCTTGAGTGAAGAAAGATTTTCATTTCCTCGCTAATGTTGAGACGGGGTCGGTTGTGAATCCAACGACAGTATCCAGGATCATTCTTGAATACATCCTCAATGGATTGACCTTTGTATTTTCCGAAAGATAGGTCGATCGTCATGGGTATCTATATACATAGCCTCTTAATTTTTTTGAGAAAAATATTAATTCTGAAAATGACGTCGTAATGTGCCAGTAATTATTGCGAGTCGAGCTGATTTAAATTCGAGATGAAGACTGAATGGGGTTCGTTCTGATAGCTTAAAGCTCTTTAAGCAATATGGAGCTATCTAGAGGTGCTGTCGATTTATTTACTAATTTTATGAAGGTGTGCTCTAGAACGAGTCTAGTTAGTAAATTACGGTAAGAAATGGGGAAAATAAAAAACTGCCGGCGTAATGTGCCGCGACCCACTACTGATACGGTGCTCGACGCGCGCCCACGTCTTGCGGTCCTTGCGAAGCCCACGAACGCGGCGCATGATCTTCTCGTAGTACTTCTGCGTGTGGGTCCGCACCTGCCGAACGGACCGAGTGCCGACGGCCTGTGCGATAGCCGCCCATGGTCCATGGGGATACTGCTTGATGGCGAGAAGGAAGTGGTCGTGCTCGTCTTCTGACCAAATTCCATTCGTCATTCCTGGCGGCAGGAGTGGTGAGGACAGCGCAGGAGGCTGTGGTTGTACAGCACTGGGGCTTTGGTCTTCACAAGCAAATTGTGGAGTGGCCGTCAACCACGCGGGACACTCGCATCGCCGACACTGTCGGCCCGTCAGGATCTTGCTGCTCCAATGTGCTTGACGAGATAAGTGGAATCACAAAGCGGTCGCTGCAATGACCCCACCGAAAACCTGCGAAAATCCACACTCGCGACTTGAGCTGTTCGTTCAGCAACGGTCATCTTCGGATAGCGAGTGTGTATTTGTGGGGTCTGAGTAGGGTGAATATGTAGCACAATTCAGCGCGCAACAGTTGACCGGGAGATGTTCTCGCTAGGAAAAATGGTATGTTGCCCCCCCCCCTCTTGCTGTGACGAGCGAGCCATAAAGCGTTTGCAAGTCCACCTCATAGAAGCGGTAAAGTGAACGGGATTTTGCATTTGTATCCAGGAGAAATGGTCGCTATCGCTATGACGCTGACCACTTGGTGCGTTGCTGTTGCTTCATCCGCGTAGAGGGTAGAAATCCATTCGAGTCGTTGCATTGGGAAGTAACATAATTCTCCGGTTTGCTACATTTAAGACAAAATCATCGGAGCGCGCATACATATGACCCGAAACCTTCCTTTGAATACCTTTTTCGTTGTACTGCGTGTAGTAAAGCTTACGCACTGTGTACCTGGAGGTTTAACGGGTGATGGAGACGAATTGAGAGTCAATTTGCGACGGGCGCACCATGGTACAGTAACAGATCATCTCTGGTCTTGCTTGGCTCTGCACGTTTTCAATGATCGCGATCTTGTGGGCAATGTTAGTTTTCATTGAACGTATCTCGGGTGTGGAGTGGTGGGTCGAGAGCAATGCAAAAACGGAAATGAACCTTGGCTGAGCTGCCAGCCTCCTACCCCAAGACTAATTTAACCTTGCAACATCTCCCGATCAGAAAAACTTGGTTTCCTCTTTCGCCTTCAACGTCTCCGCCGTCTTGTCCGCGGAAACCGACCATTCGCTCGGAATTCCTAGGGGTCGCTCTCTGCTTCGTGTTGGGTTTTGCAGAACCGGTTCGCCTTCATCTGTGCATCACTGGGTGCTGGGAGAAGCGCTGGGCCTGGCCATACAACCAGTTCCGTGCCTACTTGTTTTAGCCAATTAGCATCTTCTCCTTGTTAAGCTCTCGCAGTATATTGGTTGATTTATCCAGCGTCACTTGCAATTTCCATGAGCCTCCTAGGATTTGCATAGCATACAAAAGTGCTATCAAAAAGAGGCAGGAAACTGGCAGCTCACTCCAAATCAACAAGTTTTTCAAAACAATAATAAGAAATCCTTCCGGATCAGCGTGAAGTGCATAAATTCAGCCTAAACACGCAGATTTAGCGGGTGCAATCAGATTTCAGAATGGACAATTCAATGAAAAGTTATGCCATAGTAAGTCCGCAAGTTCGAAGAACGGCACGAAACTGGCAGAAGACCTTAAAGCAGTTTTTGCTGTCCGTTCATGGCCGCGAAGTGCCTGCCAGCAATGATGACTCGTGTGTTGACTCACGCTCTGTCCTGCAAACCCAAAAGATTACTTGAAGTACTCAGGAATGTCTCTACCCGCCTTAAGCAGCTTCGCGGAGCTCACGTGTGGTGCTGGGGGATTGCTATAGTACTCCGAATTACCCTAGAGCGCTCATCATACTCCAAGTATTTTAACGCAGACTACATGTATCTGGTGGGGGAAAACATTTGTACCGGATGCCTCAGGTTCACGCGACGCACGATGACGCAGATTAATTAGCCAAAATGATTGCTAGCAATCCCCTCCCCATCGCACATGGTAGCTGTCCGCCGTTCTCGCATCACATTGACTCAGCGTCGGTTTACCCGGATGCTGTAGCCGCTGAAGTCATCTCGTCTGTTCTTTCTGCTCGTTCGGTCAACAAGGGAGCACTTACCTATCTGCAGGGGGTTCGAGTCTGCGTTCATTCATTTCCGATTCTGCCAGCGACAGCACAAGACCGACCACCAGCGCCTTCTTCTAGCCATGTTCGTTCGGAGCGCATGGCTTGCCATTGTGTTGACAACGACTTTGGTCGTGAGTCCGATGGCGTGGAGTTTGCCGCCGCACCAACTTCGACGGCTGTGTGATCAAGAAATCTACCAGCGCCTGCTCACTGAACAAGCAGCGATGGCAGACAACAAAACGGTCTGCGAAGAACAGCTCCGCGACAGCTTCTTGTCCGAGTACATGATGAAGCTGCCGGCTTTTGGAGGCTTCCGAACTCGTGTCAACGCCAACCTCTTCGATCTGTACCCGGCCATCGCGAACTCGAAATGTGATCTCGGGACGCTCGCGTCACTGGTGAGTGGCGACTCAAACGACTCGGCTGCATTCATGGGAGTGATGGGCGCGCTGTTGGGCGGTGTGACTGGCGCGAACAACACGGCGGATCTACCGACAGCACTGTCCTCGTGGAGCACCAACAGCAGTACACTGCAGGGCTTCTGTAACATCATGAACGACCAAGCCGGACCGTGCATTGAGGCGCTAGTTCCGGCGCTTGTTTCGCTTTTGGAGAGCGATGCAATGTGTTGCCATGAATTGAACGGGTACCTGGAAGTCCTGAAGCTGCTCGTCCCAACGGGCCAAACGCTGGAGCAAACAATCTTCGGCCTCGTCAATGGTCTTCACAAAACCATGTGCACCACCACCAACTCGAACGGAGAGTTGTGTTCAGCCTCTATGAGCTCGTACCTGTCCGATGTCGTTACCGTCAACGATTCACTACTCGGGACCATCATTTTCAAGGCGGGTGTGCCGCTCTACGCTGCTGCTGAGAGCGATATCTGTTCGTCGCTGGAGACCCCCAGTCTGGCCAGTGGTCTGGCCAACAGTGCGAGCATTCCTTATTACGCGGCTTCGTGCTGCGCTTCGAGCCTGTCGTCGCTTCTGCAAAGCTTGGACTCCGTGGTGACGCACTTGTCGGGCAATTCCATGACCGTGCTCTTCGACCTCATTACGGGCCGTCAAAAAGCCGCGTCGCGATTCTCGACAGTCTACCCCGCCATTCAGGAGTGCAGCTTTTGTAGCGTGTGCACCAAGCCAAACTTCACGCTGTCGGCCTCCAACAGGTCGAATGCTGCGTTGCCATTCAGTAAGGAAGCTGTTGAGAGCAAGACGCGCTCCCCGAAGCTCCTTGACCCGCGTGTGCGACAGCGACGGCGTCTGCAGCGAGGTTTGCGAGGCCGGCACTGCGCGCATTGATCCGTGGGTTGCAAACGCGATCTCTTACCAGCGAAGCTTGTCATACGCCGAGTCACTTTGCTACGCAGAGTTGCATGGAATGCACAACAGCGTTATCACCCAGGCCCGCGGCTACGGAACCGCGACCAACTCTTCAATGCGGTGCTTAACGCCTCCAACGCCGACTCGAACATGCGCACCAGCAACCAGTTCTTGAGTCTGACGGACCAGCTGAACCTGGGAGCGAGGTTCCTGGAATTGGACGCACACTACTTCGCTTCGTCGCTGCGTGAAGGCCACTGCTCCAAGGTGGCGGTCTTGTTCGTCAAGAACCTGTCCGCCAGCATGGTGGCTTCGTTGAAATCCGCTCTGGATGCCAGTGGAGAAGACAGCACTGTCGAGTGGGAGTCGTCCCTTGTTGGTTGTCTGCCTTCGCTAAGCGGTATCCGTGCGGAGGAGCAGCGTCTGCACAACGAGTCGCTCGTCGAGGTGGCCTCGTGGCTGGCAAGGAACCCCGACGACCTGGTCGTCATCTACGTGGAAATCGGAGATGAAGTGAAAACCTTTTCGAAGATGAACGCACTCGTGACGCTCTACGCGGAAACATTCGGGGATCTTGTCTTCACTCCGTCAGATCTTGAGATCGCCGGTGGCGACTGGAACGGATTCAAGCTAAGGGACCTCATCGCTCAGGGCAAGCGCCTCATCCTGGTGACTGAGCCTGAGGCGAACGACCAAATGTTCTTCATGCGCGAGGTGTGTGCTGGCTGGGTGGACATTCCAACCAGCAAGTCGGGTCCTTCCGGCACGTTCTTCGGCGAGACGATGAACGCTGGCAAGATCATCCGCCTTTGAGAGCGAGTTGCACTACGCCACTCTCAACGCTGGCGGTTTGTCCGGCGGCACCAAGAACGTAGACACAGCCACGGAATCGGGCAACGTGAACGCTTCGAGTCTCCCGGTTTTCGTCGACGCCGGAGTGAACATCTTGGCCCCTGACGGACTGGACGGTGCGACGATGGCCGCGATGGTCTGGACGTGGGCGGAGAATGAGCCCATTGTTGGTGCGACGGCCGTGGCGCTGTCGGGTGTTGATGGTCGCTGGCACGGCGTGGTCGACTCGACCGCCATCTCTCACGTGGCCTGCGTGAGCAGCAGTAACCGAATGGACTGGAAGGTGGTTGACCAGGGCTCGTCTTGCCCCAGCGGATACGTTATCGGTGCCCCTCGACTTGCGGTGGAAAACGTGGCGCTACTGACAGTGCTGCGGGCGGAGGGAGGCAATGCGGCGGCTCAGTTGGACGTGGATCTCGCCAGCTTCTCGGCTGGAATAGCAGCCCAAGTGAGCATCGGTGATTCCAACGAACCCCTGCGGTGGTTTAAGTGGAGACTGTTTTTAACTCTGGATAGGGGCCAACCACACAGACACACACGTTTAAAAAATCTAGCAATACAACGGAAGTATTCATGAAACCAAGTTCGGTGTCCGTGGCAGATCTTCATGCAAAACCGTTCGCCGTCTTGGACTGGTCAGCTAGCCGTTGATGTGCAAACTTGTTTACGGGGTACCGTACCGTGCAAGGCAGGCAACAAATCGTTGCCGTAGTCATCGCCGTTAGCGTTAGCGTGAAGCTGCGGGGTCTCGGCGATTAAAGCCGCGTCTTCAATGGAGATGGAGTCGCCTCTGTCCAACGCGGGCCACTGCGGAGATCTTGCTCGTTTGGATTCCCCTCCGCAGCACCGCCAAACTCTTGGTATCAGCTGTGGACAACGTGCAAGCCACGCACGCAACTCCTCCAGGCACGCAGCCATGACGATTCGCTTTGTGAATCCCAACGCTTTGCAAGTCAGTCAGTCTACCGCCAGTCCAACGGACGGCTGGCAAAATGGCCAGCATGGCTACATCGCGGACTTGTTCGAAGGGTGCTCGGACTGGTATTTACTGAGCAGTTTACTAAAACTATGTCAAAAACACCGAAAATAACGGCTCATGCGGCTCTAACAGAGGTCGAGAGACCGTCTGACTCTCTTGACGCTCATTTTTGGAACTGCGGGCACCCACGCAAGTCTCACCTCGTCTCGCCCGATGTCCCGCCCGCGTCCATGGCTCGCGCCTGTGGCGCTGCTGCTGTTCACCGTCTTGGCTGCAGTTGCGTCGAACTCGCGCGTCTCGCCACTGCAGCAGCACCGACAGTTGAGCGAGAATGACCAGGAAGTCTACGCGCGGCTGCTGGAGGAGCAGACGGCCATGGCGGACGACGAAGCGGCCTGCAACGCCAGCGCCAGCAGCAGCGTGCTGTCCACGTACCTGTCGGCGCTGCCCTCCGTCGCCGGGCTGCAGGGCTGCATCGCCACCAACATCGCGCAGCTGTACCCGTCCATCGCCGGCTCCGGGTCGCAGTGCAACCTCACGACGCTCAGCTCGCTCGTGAGCGGCGACTCGGACGACTCGGCCGCATTCTCGGAGGTGCTGAACCTGCTGCTCGCGGGCGTCGTGAGCTCCAGCGGCTCCGGCTCCAGCTCGACGGACCTATCCAGCGCCTTGTCCTCGTGGAGCGACGACAGCAGCACGCTGCAGGGCTTCTGCAGCGTCATGAACACACAGGCGGGGCCCTGCGTCGAGGCGCTGCTGCCCGAGCTCCTCTCGCTCCTGGATAGCGACGCCACGTGCTGCAGCGAGCTCAACGGGTACCTCGAGGTGGTGAAGCTCATCGTCCCCACGGGCCAGACGCTGGAGCAGACGCTGCTGAGCTTGATCAACGGGCTGCACCAGACCATGTGCACCACCACGAGCTCGGACGATCAGCTGTGCTCCGTTCCGATGAGCTCGTACCTATCTGGCGTCGTGACGAGCGACGAGTCGTCGCTGCTTGGCGCCATCATCTTCCAGGCCGGCGTCCCGCTGTACGCTGCGTCCGAGAGCGACGTCTGCTCCTCGCTGGAGACCACGAGTCTGGCCAGCGGCCTCGCCAGCGGCAAGGATCTTTCGTACTATGCGGCGTCGTGCTGTGCGGCAGCTCTGTCGTCGTTCTTGGAGAGCGTAGACGCCCTGGCGACGCACGTGTCGGGCAACTCGATGGCGGAGCTGTTCACGCTCATCACGGGTCGCCAGAACGCCGCGACGCAGTTCTCCTCGCTGTACTCGACGGTCCAGGGCTGCAGCTTCGGCTCAACGTGCACATCTCCGTCGTTCACCATCTCGAGCTCGAGTTCCGGTGCTGGATCCTCATCGAGTAGCGCCGCCGCGGACAGCAAAACGTTTACTCCGGAGAACGTCACGTGTACGCTGGTCAACTTCTGCGATAGTGACGACGTGTGCAGCGAGGTGTGCGAGGCTGGAACCGCGCTCATTGAGCCGTGGGTGTCCCGCGCCATCACCTACCAGCGCAACCTCTCGTACGCGGAGACGCTGTGCTACGCGGAGATCCCCGCGACCCACAACAGCGTCATCACGCGAGCCCGCGGCTACGGCAACCGCGACCAGCTCTTCAACGCGAAGCTGAACGCCTCGAACGCCGACTCGTACATGCGCACAAGCAACCAGTACCTGAGCGTGACGGATCAGCTGGACCTTGGCGTGCGCTTCCTCGAGCTGGACGTGCACTACTTCGCCTCTTCGTTGCGCAGTGCTCACTGCTCTGAGTTCGGAATCGCTTTCGTGGACGATGCAGCGGCCGCGTTAGTGTCAGCGTTGGGGTCCGTCCTGGACGCGAGCGGTGAAGACAGCACGGTGCAGTGGGGGTCGGAGTTGGTGGGCTGCCTGCCCTCGCTGAGCGGCATCAAGGCGGACGAGCAGCGGCTGCACAACGAGTCGTTGGCTGAGATCGCCACTTGGCTCTCGAGTCACCCGAGCGACCTGGCCGTGATCTACACGGAGATCGGAGACGAGGTTGGCACGTACTCGCAGACGGATGCGCTGCTGGAGCTGTACACGACGACGTTCGGAGACATGCTCTTCTCACCGTCCGACTTGAAGAGTGCCGGCGGCGACTGGAACGGCTTCACGCTGGAAGAGCTCATCGGCCAGGGCAAGCAGGTAATCCTGGTGACCACGCCTGAGGCGAACGATCAGATGTTCTACATGCGCGAGCTGTGCGCGGGCTGGGCGGACGTCCCGAGCAGCACGACCGGCTCGGCCGGCACCTTCTTCGGTGAGACAATGAACGCCGGTACGCTCGTGCGCGCCTTCAAGAGTGAGTTGCACTATGCCACACTCACCGAGGACGCGTTGAGCGGCGGCAGCGTGGAGGTGGACACTGCTGCTGAGCCCGGCCACGTGAACGCCTCGACTCTACCGGTGTTCGTGGCCGCGGGCGTGAACATCCTGGCCCCGGACGAGCTCGACGGCACGATCATGGCCGCGCTGGTCTGGTCCTGGGCCGAGAACGAGCCGGACGTGGACACCGTCACGGCCGTGCAGCTCTCGGCGGCGGACGGCCGGTGGTACGGCGTCGCGGACTCGTCCAGCATCAGTCACGTGGCGTGCGTGAGCAGCAGCAACCGCACGATGTGGGAGCTCGTGGCGCAGGGCTCCAGCTGCCCGGACGGCTACGCGGCGGGGGCCCCGCGCTTGGCGGCGGAGAACTCGGCGCTGCTGGCGGTGCTGCAAGCAGAGTCGAGCGACGCCACGGCGCAGCTGGACGTGGATCTGACCAACTTCCCGGCCATCTCGGCCGCGGACCAGGCCGCGTACGACGCCGGCGACACCAGCAGCAGCCCGTCGCGCATCGGCGCGGACGGCACCGATGGCAGTACGGTCAGTAGCCCGTCGGCGGCGATGGGGGCAACAGCGGCGTGGTCGCTGGCTGCTGCTGCGGCCGTGCTGGCCGTGGCCATATATTGATGAGAAATACTGCAAGAGTAATATGACACATGCATGTTCGGTCTTCATGTGAATACAGAGAAATCTCCTTCATGTGAATGCCGAGAGCTCTCCATAGAGCTTGGTGATCCAGATGTGAGCGCGTCCTGCTGGTTGAAGTGCGACTTCGATGTGGGCCACATTGTGGGCGCAAATTTTTTGCTGTCCGCAGAGTTGAACTCGCAGAGATCACGCGACGCATCTTCCTGATCGTCCCGTGACCATGCTGCTGCGCCCGACCGCTGGATTTTCATCCATACAAAGAAATAGTCCATTGCTAGACGCACGCCAAGCAATCTACTGCTGCGACCGACTCCATAGTTGAGACTCAAACGGGGCTTCTTCCTTTATAAGTTACTGTACGAGTGTGGGGAGGTCTGCCGCCTGCTGCAGCGGCGGCGGCGGTGGTGTCAGCGCCGTGTTCTACCGGACGCTGTGGGGTAAACTACTACTACATGTTGACACGCTCTACGCGTCGTCACACATTGATCACCAGGTCCCCAGCACTGCTGCTGTGGCTGCTAGCGGACGCGTCCGCACCGCTCAGCACCTCGATCAGGAAGTCGAGGCACGAGTCGTCAAAGTCCGACACGTCCATGGCGGCGTCGCTGTCGGTGGTGGCCGAGGCCGTGCTGGCGCTCGGGCAGGGGCTGGCGGGCGACGAACATTTGGCCTGCTGCAGCTCCTGCTGGAAGGACGTCGTCCGCTGCTCGGTCGTCTCCATGGCCAGCAGCGAGATGCTGACCTTGGAGGGCGACGACAGCGGCGCGCGCAGGCGGCTGGCGAGCACCGGGTCCACGCCGCCGCTCGGGTCCTTCTTGGTCTTGGCGAGCTGGCAGAGCTGCACCATGTCCTCGTCGAGCCTGTGCTCGGGGCGCACGAGCTTCTTGCGGTCCTTGCGCAGCCCACGCAGGCGGCGCCCCACCTTCTCGTAGTACTTTTGCGCGTGCGTCTGCACCTGGCGCGGCGAGCGCGTGCCCACATAGCTCGCGATCTTCTTCCACGGGCCGTGCGGATACAGCTTGAGCCCGTCCAGGAAGCGGTCGTGCTCCTCGCCCGACCAGAGGCCCCTCTCGATGCTGCGCGTGCTGCTGGTGGCGGGTTTCAACATGGCTGACTATGTAATGACCTGTCGATTGGGCGGGTGTGCGTGCTGCGAGGCAAATTCCGAACTGGGCTGGACCGCCGCTGGCGCGAGGTCTCTGCTGCACTGACTGCAACGGGGATTTCGCGTGATTCGCTCCCTCGCTGTCCGTCTGCAGCTGATGCTGGTATATCTCCCGCCTTATGTCCCGCTGGTGCTTTAGTCGGCGAGCCTTGTGTCAAACTCCACGTTGAGAGGATTGAGCGTGAGGCAGGCGAGAATCCAAGCGGTCTCGGTGCGAGAGTCATACGCCGCGGTGCTTCTTGGACACACCGCTGTCAAAACAAACACCATTCCTCACTGCGGGCGATGTGGGTTCATCATTCGTTTACCGACGAGGGCAGCGCCCCCCCCCCTGACTCTACGCGGTTGTCGCGTAGGCCCGCTTCAATGTGCAGCGGGTCTGCAATCGCCTGTGGCGTATCACCAAGAATCTTGGCTAACGACGCTCGTCAACTCTTTCATTACTACCGCAGTCTCCACTCACATGAGAGGTGATGAAGATGCACGATCAAGCCATGTTTGGTGTGCCAGGCAGCGTTCCGCTTTTTGCTGTGCGCGAGGATCGCCGGGCTTGATGGGTACGCGGCTGAGGTGACCACATCGTCTCCGACGGGCCCGGTTGGATTTTTTCATCGGTTGCGGCGCGCTTGGCGTGCGTGGACGAGGGAGGGCGCGCAGACGGAGCTCAGCGTTGACGCTAACGCTGTTCGTGCTCATCTCACGCGCAAGCGCGAGCATGACCGCGCCGGCGCAAGGCAAGCGTGGCGTGGCGGCGGGTCCTCGATGCCAGCATCGGCCCCCGCTTAAAACTTATAAGCGGGCGTTCGCTGCTGTATAAGCGGCACCCTGCGATGAACACCTTGCTCCGCCGGAACGCATTGCACCGCAGGGAAGAATCCTGCAATGCTGGCTGGCTGCGTGACCAGATTGGTCGTCATCCTGAGTTACAGTACAAGTTGTCGTACACTTCGTTTCGCTGTCCACCAGCGGCACTACAAGTAATAGGCATCGGTGGCTTCGCGCTGGAACGCCCCAAACGGCAGTACCAAGTGGAGAATACATTCTGTGCGGGTCAACCTACGTACGAGCTCGCAGGCTGCAAGAAGATCGACCGAGTCTCTGTTGCACAGTCTCTCCACCCCACGCTGCACGGTACACCATACTGTCCCGATAGTCGCGGCACAATCAAACCGCTGGACTAATCAAAAAGTGTAGCCATCTAAATTGTTGCGTTAGACTCGACGGCTGTTCGAGGCTGCTGGCTAGTGCTGGTGGCCACCGCGTGCGTATGGCAACGCGTGAGGAACTTCTCGAGCGACAGAAGCACGGGCGCCGACGCGCTCTGGTCGTGGGCGACCTTGATGACGTAGTTGATGCTGTCCTTACCCAGCAACCGCTGCTGCAGCGCCAGCTGGAGCTTGCTGAAGATCTTCTGGTGCCAAACGGGCAGCACCAGCGGCGGTGTAACTGCTGTTTCCGAGCTCGATCCAGACCAGAAGAACTCCACCACGCTGCGGCTGCAGTGAGACAGCAACCCCCATTGGTCGAAGGGTAGCCGGTTGGTCTGCGAAAACAGTCGGAGGCGGCGGCACTGCACGCGCGAAAGCTCGCCGCTCTTCAGCCCTTGCAGAATGTCCGTGAGCAGCGCCATGGGGTCGACTGGCCGGATCAGTTGTCGAGCGCACACCGCCACGATCTCACCCGCGCGCGTGTAGATGGCTGTGACCTGCTCATACAGCTCGGGCGGAGGGTGCCGGTGTTGGTGAACGAGCTCAACCGGGCGATCCCGCTTCCTCGGCACCATTTTACCCAGCGAGCGGATGCCCTCGCCTTCTTGAGGCGTCATGACGGTGGCTAGTTGCCAGCTCTCAGGGTTCAGTAGCACCTTCATATTCTCCACCATGACGCGAGATACCTGGCGTGTGAGTATCTGCAGCATGCGTCGAGGTCGCTCAGGCTTCTTGAGCACGCCGATGTCATGCAAGAACTCCTCATCGTCCTCCGATGGCCGCCATATGCGCAGTACGTGTACACCCCACAGCGCATCACTGAAGGTCGAGGGCACCGTGATGAGCTCGAACCACGCGCGTGACGTCAAGCTCAGCCGATGCAGTGCGCGAACTGTAAGGAACTCTTGCAGCCGCAAGAGATTTCCGCGGCCATAATCGACCACCCGCGAACCGCCGAGTCTGTACGAGCGATTGCTTGGCGGCAGGGCACCAAAGCAACTCGAGAAAGTTTCTTCTCGGGTTTGGAACAGGTCCGGGTCCAGCTTATACCGGGACTGCTGGTACACCTTGGATTGTTTGAGGCCTGCTTGTTGCGCCGAGTTGCTGAGCATCAGTTCTGGCGGGACAGGTTTGGCGTTAGGTGAGCGATCACCACTTGTTCCGGTTGTCCGATACGAATTAATCGCTAATGAAGTTGCTGATGGGCACATCGTGAATGTGCCGGATGCATTCGCTCCATCAAAAGCCTGACGACCTCCATGAACCATATTCGCTCTCTCTGCATACTCTTGCCGCGGAGACGCGGACGACACAGCTGTCGTCTCACGTCTAGGAGCTGCAACGTGAAGGAAGTCAAAGTTGTTCGGATCATCCAGCGATGCGTCTGGTCTGGACGACCGTCGAGCGAAAGTTTTGAACTTCCGCAAGCGTTTCGATCGAGGAGGTGGAACACTACTGCCATCTCCATTCGCATTGGCTCCGAGTCGATTAGTGGTGATACCATCACCACGCGATAGCGGATCTGGATCTGGTTGGTCGCTCGTTAAAGACGACATGGAAGCGAGCCCCGTGGCCACACGAGATGGTCGAGTGCGTTTGGTCTTCTCTTCTGTTGGGGCAGTAGTAGATCCAAACGTAACTTGAACGCGAGCACTGAGAGACGGCGAAATGCGGATGTCGCTGGACTCGATACTTTCCTGGCATGCTTTGGAGCAGTAAGCGCGTGCGACGAGTGAAGCTCGCATCGAGGATGAGACCACAGGCTGAGTCGGGTCAACACTAGCGGGTCCTCCTGCTGGCCGCTTGACGTGCGGACGAAAGAACCGCGTTTTGCAGTTCCAGCACGTCGCCATGGGGATACTGTTAGATGACGTCGGTTTCCGCAGTTGGAACGGAGGGTTCGAGCCTGTTGGGGGCTTTGCACTCTGAGGCCCTGGCACACGAGGTGAGATCAACGGGAACACAAGGGCGGCGCCCGCTGAGCTCATCACTGCAGACGGAAACGGGCGGCGGTCACTTGCTTCGGCCGACGCGTCTAGCGAGCGAGCAGAGTCTGGCATCGATCTGCTGGTAGCCACGGCCTTTTCAAGCCGTCGTTGATGCTTTTTGAGCTTCACGCACTCGTTCTGGAAGGCCTTCCAACTGGGGTCATCCGCCGAAGTGTCGACGTCCTCAAAGAGCTTGCGAAGCTTGGGGGCTGGAGTGTCGAGCAACACCTTGCCTGTGATTTGTTCATACACCACCACCTGCGCGTAGCTCCCGAGCTGCTTGGACTTAAGATACTGCGCCAGCTCCAACGCGTCCCAATACTCCGGCATGATAGTCACCGCTTCATCGAAATCATCACTTCCTGTATTATTCGCACTGGCCGTCGAGGGCGGGGCCGAGTCTTTGTCCTTATTACGCGGTGGTGCCGCCCCCTTCCACTTGGTGCCGCGCTTGCCAGTGCGTGAGCTCCGTCGCCACGCCTCTTTCTCCACCTCCACCACCACTTTCACGTTCGCAAGTCGGTCTTCCATTTGCGCGATCTCATTTTCCAGCTCTTGCGCCGTAGCCGACATAGTCTACAGCCCGGCCACCACTACGTACGCACGTGCAGTGCACTTTGAACTCAATCAGACCTTTACAAAACACTTCACAGCCAAAGAGAGAGAGATAGGCCTCTATTTACAGACTTGGTCGCATTATTTTGGAGGGAATGGCAGACGCAGCGCTCGATATAGGAACGCAATCTCCATCGCACTCTCCTCCAGCTGCTCCAAACGACCACCACCGCCGAAGTGGCCGTCGTCTTCACCCATTTTCAGCAAAATGAGACGCTTGTCGTTTTTCGGTAGCGAGGCCTGCACTTTGCGCATCTTGTACACCCACTTGGCAGGCTCCCAGAACTGCACGCGCTGGTCATTCAGACTACCCGTGACAAACATGGCCGGATAGACCTGGTTTTCTCGCACATTCTCGCACGGCGCGTACGATTGAATGTACTCGCGAGCCTTCGGTCCGCTCGGATCGCCCCATTCGTCGTACTCGTGGACTGTCAGCGGCAAAGTCGGGTCTTGCATCGTCGCCAAGATGTCGACGAAGGGCACCTTCATAACCAGAGCCTGGTACAGGTGCGGATACTCGTTGGCCACATACCCCATGATGAGGCCACCAGCACTCACTCCCTTACCAGCGAGGCGCTTCGGGTTCGTGAAGCCTGCGTCTAGCAGGTGGTGAGTACAGGACACGTAGTCGTCGAAGGTGTGGCGCTTCTGCATGCCTTTGCCAGCCTGGTACCATTGCAAACCCAGCTCTCCACCTCCACGCACGTGGGCAAGTGCGATCACCCAGCCGCGCTCCAGCAAACTTAAATGCTCCAGCTCAAAGTCCGCCTCGAGGTTTGTGCCGTACGCTCCGTATCCGATCAGCAGCGTCGGGTTCTGTCCGTTCAGCGTGATATCACGACGGTGGATAAGCGTCATCGGAATTTTCACACCTTGGCTGGTCATGCTGGGCACATAGCACCGTTGGCAAGTGTACAGCTTCGGGTCGAACGTCGAATGTGTAGGCTTCTGGGCATAGTCACGCTTACGCTCGTGCTTGATGGACCTGTCCGTGAGCTCTGTCTCCTTAAGGACGCGCAGTTCTCTGTTCTTCATATCGTAGTCGAACACAATCTCAGGAACCAGTGGAGTGGACACTTGGAAGCGCACGCGGTGAGCGGCGTAGTCGCGGTTGACTCCAGGCGAAACGCGGCAGATCTCGAGCTCTTCAGGCAACGGAATGTAGTGGTCACCGCTGTCCGTGTCGCTCTGTCCATCCAGACTGCAGACTCGAATTCGCGGCACACTGTTCACTCGCTCGTACAGCACAAGGTACTTCTCGAACAGATCCACATCCTCGATCTTCACGTCCTCATGCTCAGGAACAAGCGTCTCCCACTGCCCAACCGAGGACGACGTCGGCTCCGTCGCTTGTGCGTTCCACTTGGACGTTGCGATCTTGTAGTTGAGTGCGCCGTCCGCGTTCGTGACGATGAAAAATTGTCCAGCAGCGTGGTCAGCAAAGTAGAGCGTGCCAGCCTCGCGCAGACGCAGCAGCTGGGGCCGCGCGTCGATGTCCTGACCGTCCAGCGCGTAGATCTCGGACGTGTTCTTGGAGTTGCAGTTGATCAGCACAAAGCGCGCGTCCTTGGTCTGCGATACGTCCACGAAGAAGGCCTCGTCCTGCTCCTCGTAGATCTAGCGTGCAACAAAAATATAGCCATGTTAGAGCGCTTATCCCCATTTGTTGTTCATCATTTCTGAACTTTCCACTTCAAGTCTGAAGCAGAATCTGAAGATCCCATTGATCACGTCACGTCTCGCCACGTACCAGTTCTTGTTCGTGAGTCGCCAGGTTGTACCTGTAGACAGCACACGGCCGGCCGTGGCCGTCCACCTTCGTGTAGTAGAAGACTCTGGTCGGTGCCGGGGCCGAGCTCCACTCGACGTTCTTGATGCCCGTGACGTCCTCCAGAGGCTGCAGTTTGCCCGTCTTCAGGTCCCTCAGCACCGCTCGACACTGCTCGTGGTCGTTCTCCATAACCAGCAGCAGCTGCGTCGCGTCGGGCGAGATCTTCATGCCCGAGACGAACTGGAAGCCGTGGTTGAGCGACGGCTCTACGTTCTGGTTTAGCACCACCTCGTCGGCGGTCGTTGAAGTTGCCGCGCCAGTTGCACTTGCACTTGCGTCGGATTCCTTGGAAAGCTGGCGACGTCGGCGGTAGTACACGGGGAAGTTCTCGCCGGGCGCCTGCCGCATGTAGTACTCAAAGTCGCCGACGCACTCGGGGATGCTAAAGTCCTCGCGCGCCAGGCGGTTGCGCAGTTCCACGTGGAAGGCGCGCTCCACCTTGCGGAACTTGGGCTTCGAGAGCTGATTGGCCAGGTAGTTGCGCTCCAGCTGCCGGCAACAGGCAGCAATACGAAAGGTTGGAGAATTGCAGGTTGGCAATAGGTAGGCAAAAACAGTGTGTGAACCTTGAGGAACCGCTGCAGCCGCGGGTTGTCCGGGTTTTTGAGCCACTCCCAGTACGAGTCCGCGGCCGTGAAGCATCCGAACTGCTGTTTAGTGAGTGCAGAGCTGTGCAGGCGCCGGAAAGCAGGTCGAAGCCATGGCGACCGTCGCGCAGCGGCGCTCACGGTGAAGCCCATGCGCATCATTGCTCGCAACCGCTCGAAATGTGTTGGACTATTTGGTCAAATTGGGCTGGACTATTTGGCGGATGGGTAATTTATCAAAATGGGTATATTTTTTACTTTTTGATCCATTTCACGAAATAGTCCGTCTTATATTATTTGGTATTTGGTCCCGCATCTGATTTTTGCCCCGTGTCGTTTTCGGGGTGACCCGCTGCGACTACTGTACTGCAGCTCGCCATCTGACGTTGCGGCTGGCTGGCCAAGTCAGCCTCCAGCTGCAGCCGTTTATTGCATGGTGGAAAACCCCGTGCAGGCGATAAACGCCTTCGACGGCGCGGCGTAGAACGGGAAAATCCACGCACGTCAAGGCCTCGCGGTCGTCCCAAAATGTGTGCGCTACACCAGTGAAGCCATTTGGCGTGCAATTGAGCTCTACGATTGGCCAGCTGAGGGGGAGCAAAGGAGAAAAGAGGAGCGTCGAGCACACGACAGCGGCAGCTCGCGAGTAGAGGCGTCCGTCACTTACTCCACAGGCCGACGCGGCGTCGAAAGGACAGCGAGCTACAGCAGCGAGCGCGCACCATATAGACACACAGCCATGGAGGGAATTAAGGTGCGCCAATGGAGCTGCTACCGCCGTTAGGCTAGTGTTAACACTAGCTTATCCGCCCGCCCTGTCGCTTTAAGCTAACCTTCATTGTTGCCGGTTAGGTGTACACGCCGGACCCGGAGCACGTGTGGCTGCCCGGCGTCATCTGCGCTGCCTCGGGCGACGGCAAGCAGCTCACCGTGCGGCTGGACGAGGTGGTGGGGCCCCGCGACGAGGCGGCGCTGGAGCGCATCGAGTCGGAGCGCGAGCTGAAGGCGCTGGCCGGCTCGCAGCGCGCCGTGGACCTGACGGACAGCGCCCTGCTGGAGGCGCTCAACGCCAAGAACACGTCGGTGGAGTCGGGGGACAACAAGCCGTCGCTGCCGCTGCAGAACTCGAGCGAGAGCGCCAACAATGGCTTCGAGGACATGATCCTCATCGACCACTTGCACGAGGCCTCCATCCTCTATAACCTCCGGAGGAGGTTCTTCCGGCAATTGCCATGTACGTTTGTTTGTGTTTTTGCATTTGTCTCTAACCGCGTTAGAGATTTTTTTATGAACTGACAATATTTATTGTCATGTGCATTGATTGCATTTAATGCATGATGCAATAATTGTTATTATGGGGCAGACACGTACACGGGGCGCATCTGCATCGCCGTGAACCCGTACCAGTGGCTGGACCTGTACTCGAAGCAGACGATGGACAAGTTCAGCGACGGCAAGCGCGAGAACAAGGCCCCGCACGTGTACGCCGTGTCCATGGAGGCCTTTTTCAACATGCGGCAGAAGCAGGAGAACCAGAGCATCCTCGTGTCGGGCGAGTCGGGCGCCGGCAAGACGGAGACGACCAAGATCGTCATGAGCCACCTGGCCGCGCTGGCCACCAATTCCAACTCCAAGGTCATCCAGCAGATCATCCAGGCCAACCCGCTGCTCGAGTCCTTCGGCAACGCCAAGACTGTGCGCAACGACAACTCGAGTCGCTTCGGCAAGTTCACGGAGCTGCAGTTCACGCTCGAGGGCCAGCTCATCGGCGCGCGCTCGCGCACGTACCTGCTCGAGAAGAGCCGCGTGACGACGCAGGCGGACGGCGAGCGCAACTTCCACATCTTCTACCAGCTGCTGGCGCAGCGCAAGCAGTTCCCGGACCTCGAGCTCGACATGGTCGACTCGTTCAAGTACGTCTCCACTAGGGCCGAGGCCCCCGGCGGAGACGAGGAGGGAGATCTCAGCAGGACGCGTGAGGCGCTCGAGGTCGTGGGCATCGAGCAGCCGCTGCAGCAGGAGATCATGCAGATCCTGGGCGCCGTGCTGCACCTCGGAGAGACCGAGTTCACCACGCGCAACGGAGACGTGGACGCTTCGCAGCTCGTGGACCTCAAGCACTTCACCGTGGCCTGTCGCCTGCTTGGCGTGGAGGTCGAAGCGCTCGAGCGCGCCGTGTGCAACCGCAACGTGTTTGTCGGCCGCGAAGTCATCCTGAAGCCCATGACGCAGGACCAGGCCGCCGACTGCCGTGACGCGCTGGCCAAGAGCTTGTACTCGAAGCTGTTCCTGTGGCTGGTGGAGCAGATCAACGAGACGATCGGCGTCAAGACCAAAGGCGCGGGCTCGTTCATTGGCATTCTGGATATCTTCGGCTTCGAGCACTTCGAAACCAACTCGTTCGAGCAGTTCTGCATCAACTACGCCAACGAGAAGCTGCAGCAGAAGTTCGTGCAGGACGTGCTCAAGACGGTGCAGATCGAGTATGAGGAGGAGAATATTACGTGGTCCCACATTACTTTCGCAGACAACCAGGACGTGCTGAATCTCATCGAAGGCCGCCTGGGTGTCATCAGCTTCCTGAACGAAGAATCGCTGCTGGCCACGGGCACGGACGCGTCGTTCGCGAGCAAACTGGGGGCGGTGATGGAGAACAACCCGCTGCTGGAGACGCCGCGGCTGAACAAGTGCGCCTTCTCTATCTACCACTACGCTGGCAAGGTGACCTACGACGCGTCAGGCTTCCTCGACAAGCACCGTGACGCCATCTTGCCGGATATCAAGCAGTGCATGAGCAAGTCGAAGCTGACTATTCTGTCCAAGATGTTCACGGACGACGTGAACGCGAGCAGCGCCAACAGTGCCGCTCCTTCATCTCGTAGCCGGTCGCGTAGCAGCAACAAGAAGGGAGGTCACGCGCAGACGCGCCGCACTACAGTGGGCACCCAGTTCAAGGAGAGTCTGTCCCAGCTCATGGAGAAGATCGGACTCACGGAGGTGCACTATGTGCGTTGTCTGAAGCCCAACCCGCTCAAGAGCGCCAACTGCTTCTCGCACGGGGACATCGTGAGCCAGCTACGTTGCGCCGGTGTCATCGAGGCCATCCGCGTCTCTCGCAGTGCGTACCCGAGCCGAATGCCGCACCTGGAGTGCATCAAGAAGTTCCGCGTGCTACTGACGGGTGCCGTTCCCACGCAGGGCAAGTTCATCAACGAGTCGGACCCGGATATCAAGTCCAAGTGCGAGGACTTGATGGACAAGCTTCTGCCTGGACGCAACATCCAGGACTACCAGGTGGGTCTGACCCGCGTGTACTTCCGCGAAGGCGTACTGGAAGAGCTGGAGACCAAGCGGGGTTGGGCGCTCCGCAAGTACGCCATCGTGCTGCAGAAGAACGTGCGCTGCTGGCTGATGCGGCGGCTCTTCCTGCGGCAAAAGCAGCAGATTGTGGTGATTCAGAAGTACTGGCGTCGCTACGTGGTGCACAAGCGCTACCTTACGCTGCGCCGAGGCGTGGTGTTGCTCCAGGCCCAAGTGCGCGGCATGTCGGCTCGCAAGATGTACCGCGTGCTCAAGTTCGACTACTGCATCGTGCGGTTCCAGGCGTACTGCCGCATGCACACGGAGCGCCAGCGCTACTTGAAGACGCTGGCGGCTGTGAGGCGGCTGCAGGGTTTCTTCCGCTTCTCACTACTGCGTCTCGTGTTCCTGCGTAAGATGGAGAAGGAGAAGGCCTACAAGGAGCTGGGCTCCAAGGTGGCGCAGCTCCAGATGAAGTTGGACAGGAAGCAGGTGCACACGGGAGCGAAAATGTCACCGTCAGGGAAGAACCGGTCACCTAGTCCATCGGACGCGCCGCACGCGTCGGGATCCGGCAGCGAGCGCGGCACGAACAGCAGCAGCTCAACGCGGGGCTCGATGCTCAACAGTCGCTTCAGCGGCACCAGCGGCATACTGGATGAGAGCCACGAAGTGATCACCGCGCTCCACGAAGAAAACGAGAAGCTGCGCCAGCAGCTCGAGAAGCAGGAGGCCGAGATCCAGCGGCTAAAGACCGAGAACCGCACGCTCAAGAACTGGCAGCAGTCCAAGGAGGTGGGCGAGCAGGTGCAGAAGCTGGCGCACCGCGACCAGGAGAGCAAGGACCTGACGTACCTGGCAGCGATCGAGTCGGAGTACGAGAAGCTGCGCTCGTACATCTGCGAGACGCGCGAGCTTCCTACCGACATTGGCAGCATCACTCAGGCAAACCAAGCGGCGCCCGCTACTGGTGGCGGCCGCGGCTCGCTGACCTCGCTCTCGTCCGATAAGTCTCTGCTGGCCACGGCGGCGGCTAACGGCATCATGGACCAGAAGTCGGCCGAGGCGCACCACTTGCTGCTGAAGAGTGCCGCGCGCATCGCCCACGCCAAGAGCAAGGTCTCGAGCAAGGGCAACGCGCGCCGCGTGAAGGACCACTGGGAGGAGATCCGCAACTACCCGCCGCCCATGCACTACACGCTGGGCTCGGTGCCCTGGAAGCGGCTGCTCACGGACTGGGCGCAGGGCAACCCGAAGAAGCTAGACTACATGACGCGGTGGCTCAAGAACGTGCTGGACGGCGGCCCCATTGTGTCGGACACGTTCCCCATGGGCGTCGAGCTCAAGTACGTGACGCCCATGATGCTGGACGGATTTATGCAGCTCGTGATCCCCAAGCTCGCGGAGCGGCCAGATATCCAGGTGCACGTGCACACGAAGGAGTTTATTGGAACGAGCATGCGGATCACGCTATCGCAGCTGGAGCAGCAGGGTAGTCAACGCGCGTCGTCCGCGCACCCGCGCGTAGAACGCTCCCCGCCCATGGAGGTCGAGGACTTCCAGCGCATCTCGATCCTCGCCAATTCGAATAGCCGGAATTCCAGCAGCCGCATGTCCGCGTCCACGCTGAGTCTGTCCCCGATGGAGTCGAGCTCGGCCATCTCGTCGGGCAGCCCGAGCAGCTACCGCTCGAGTATCTTCCGCTCCGGCCGCAGCAACCACAGCGGCGAGCACAGCGGCGCGCGTAACTCGTTCTTCCATCGCAACAAGTAGAGCGATTGATATCATGGATGGATGGATGGGGCCGGTAAAGGAAGGCACGATGGGGACCGAGCTACTGCGAGCGAGCGAGTGGTGGCAGCCTATGGATAGGTGTGTGTTTAGTTAGCCAGCAGTGACGCCTGGGCCGGCTTCGGTGGCGGCGAGGGGCCTCAATCTTTTCGCCGCGCAGGAGCCACCAGGACTCGTAACAGAAGGAGGAAATAGGACGGATTGATCATACGTGACGCTGGTGTTGCACTGATGACCGATGGCGTCGCTCCGAGCGAAAGGCTCGAGCTTGTGACTTGATTCGCGACGGCCTCCGGCCTCTGTCAGCCGATACGGCGAGGAGATTGACAGCCCTGCAGGTTGCACACCAGTTGGATCGCCGGCAAGCGTTCGTGTTGGTGTTTGGTGACCGGGAAGGCGCGCTGGACCGAGAAGCCATGTCAGCACGCGAAAGCGACTCGCGTGCGTGTTCAAGCTCAGATATCGCTGACCAGTGGACAGAGCGGCCTGCAGTGCACAGCTGCGATATGAATAAATGATGTCGGACGTGGAAGCGCGGACATCGACCTCAGTCTCGGAGAGCTTCGTGAAGAGCAGGAAGAGGCTTCGAGGCGCCAGTGTTCGCCGTTGAGGAGAGGAGAGTGTCGACGCCGGCCCGCACTGATAAGTGTGAGACTGTATGCTGAGCCATGGCACGGTTTCGGCCGCGCCGTCCGTCTCGACTAGTGGGCAATGAGCAAATTCGTTCGCGCCGAAGAAGACTAAGCAAGCTTCTGACATGGCTAACCACAGCACAACACATGTCGTGGTCGAGAGCAGCAGCCATGTGTACGGCAACGGATCTTGTGGGTCTTTCGTGACATGGCTGCACAGTGTTCTCCGCCGCCGGCACCAAGTTGATTCCTGTCGAGGCTCGGGCCAAACCTCGGAGGTGCTGGCCACAGGCCTGACAAATGAGCCCCATCCGGTCACTAGAATCAGGCGGGACTGGAGCCTTGCGGCCTTCTGTGTTCAAATTCGCGGCGCTATCCGGACTGCGCGGCAACGGACCCATCGAGAGCAAGGCTGCGGCCCGCAATATCTGGTGCCGAGCGCTTCAACTCGGACGTCCACTCTCGATACGATCGCTGTTGCTGGCCACCTGCAAAAGGCAGTGCGACAGCCATTGTATTGCGAGACGGAGCTGACCGATCGACTCGTGGCCGAGAGTCTCCGCTTATGTGTTGGCGGCTGGTCTCCTCTCACGAGCCTGTCCCAGTGTCTTTGCTTCGGCCTTCCTTCTCCTCGGAGATCGAGGGAGGGCAGTCACTCCCCAATTTCCCTCATGGCGGCCATTGCAACAGCACGAGCCTCGACCAACTTCTCAGTTGAGACCCCCTCACCCTCCGACTCGGCAATGATGATGCTGACCTCCCCGACCGCGGCGTCTTCTGTTGCCACCCCGACCATCTCAACCAAACCCAACACCGGCAAGCGAGCAGTGGGCGTCTGGTCCAGCGAGGAGCACGACCGATTTCTCGAAGCGCTCAAGAAGTACCCGCAGGGGCCCTGGAAGGCCATCACCGAGTACGTTGGGACTCGCTCGGTCCGCCAGGTGCAGACGCACGCTCAAAAGTACCAGGAAAAAGTGTCGCGCAGGCTGCACGGCATGCAGACGGGCAAGGCCATTCGTCTGCGGCGTGAACATCGCATCGACCACGACATCTTGGCGCTGCATACGCTCATCAGTTTCCCTCCCGAACTACGCAACAAACACGTGCGTCGGAGCCACCCAAGCGAGGCGAAGCGTGCCCCCGTTGTCACGCCGGCGGAACCATCTGCACCCGTGGTGAAGACGCCCGAGTTGCAGCGCCCCACCATCGAGTTGAGTGATAAGGACTTCTGCCCCATCACGGATTCGGACGGCGCGTCTCCGTCCTCGGTGTCGTCGTCGTTCCTGTTTGACGACTCTGTCTTCGCCCTCATGGATGCCGACCTCCCAACATTGAGCGAGTCGCTTGACTTCTTCATCGAGAACTTATCCTAATGCCAGGGGAGAGATCCCGCCCAGCCCTCTTCAACTTCACCCCTCCCCACTCACTGAAAACTACCGCCGGAACCGATTCGACGAGATGCTCTTTTGCGGAGGCGAATATTTAACTTCATGTACTGACGTAGGCCCCCTCCCTCTCTTTCGTTTCGTTAAAAAGTTTCATGTATTTGATACGTTTGGTTCTTGCTCTTCTTCCTTATTCAAACACGTAGTGTTTCTTATCACCCTGCCTGCCCCAAGTAAGTCGACTCAATTGAACACACGCACCCATGCGATGAATTGGTGGAAACTGAAGGAGTTTGAACTTTTGAGATTCAACAAACCACCCGACATCACATGAGGAGAAGAGACCGACCGAAAGCTCCCCATGGAGTAATCTCCGTCGACAGTGTCGACTCGACACGACGGCCTGCTCGTTGCTGGGAAAGGCAGAACGCAAATCCCAATGTACATACGCGGGACTCTCCCGAGAGTCATTAAAGCAACATTGAAAATCAGCCTCAATGTGTGGGATCAATAACATTGATGGGGTCCAATGTTGCATGATCGCTAACATTGACGCAATGTAAATTTTCCAGACGTGAAATTTCATGTTTGGAGCGACTGGCTCACAACAGCTCTCATTTCAGAATCTACCGGGCTCGCTCCGCCTCCGCGTCGTGCGACCGTCTGCAGCGGTCACCCGCTCAACCTTATTCTAATGTGTGCATGTCCTACTGCGGTGCTTATATGCATGTGTGTACTACGTATGCGGGAGCAAACGCCTTCCCAGTGCGTTGCGTTGCGTCAGGTGCGATGCGTGTTGCATGCAATTGAATGCGCTACCTTCTAAGCAGGCGTAAGCGCTTTTAATGCGCCTCTAGCCAACAGCGCAGTTAGGTAAAAGGGGGAGCGCGAGCCTCGCTGAGCGCGTTCACCGATCGTCAACACCCGCCGATCAGGCGGGGGCGGGTCTGCGCGAGCGAGCGAAGGCGAGCGCTGCAACCCGATATTTTTTTTCCTAGACACCGCGCCTGGCCGAGCCGAGGACTTAGCGTAAGGCACGAGGGGGTGGGGCAGGCCGCACAGCGGCGCCCCCCGAGTGAAGCGAGAGAGGAGCGCCCCCCCCCCCCGAAGTGCCGTCGCTAAGTCCGCAGGCGAAAGCCAACGCGAGAGTGTCCTGCCAACTAGGAATAGACAACACGTGGCGCCCAGGTAGAGCTGCGCGTAGATCCCGTAGAGCCCATTCTCCTGCTGCATGTGTCGGCGGCGCCGACTCGGCGCGTACACCATGACGCGCTTGCCGCGTTAGCGGCGGAAGCTGTTGGCGCACGCCCCGAGTGATACAGCGTGCTTCGCTGTTTCGCTGTTTCGCTGTTTCGCTGTACAGCTCGACAGCTCGACAGCTCGACAGCTCGACAGCTCGATAGCTCGACAGCTCGACAGCTCGACAGCTCGACAGCTCGACAGCTCGACAGCTCGACAGCTCGACAGCTCGACAGCTCGACAGCTCGACAGCTCGACAGCTCGACAGCTCGACAGCTCGACAGCTCGACAGCTCGACAGCTCGACAGCTCGACAGCTCGACAGTGTCGAGCTGTCGAGCTGTCGTGGCGACGCGTGTCCACTATTGTCACATTGGTAAACCAAATATTCTGCTACGAGAGATACCGTAACATTGTGCAATGTTAGGCAGAGGCACCATTGTTGCGCTCAATGTTACGCAACGCCAACATTTCAATGTTGCTTTAATCAGTGCCGACTCTCCCTGGCCTGCTGAGTAAACCCTTGGCTCAACAACGCCTCCGTTTCGCATCGAGTTTATTGTAGTTGTGATTCGCAGGCAGCCACTGGCGCTGGTACAGTAGACGTTTTGAGATTGCTCAGGGACAATTGTAATAGTGGGGCATTATTACTTTTTTTTGTTTTCATTTCGCTCTGAACCCCTACTGTATTATATTACCAAAGAAATGGTAATGCACATTGAATAAAGATTAACATCTTCGCTCAGTTTTAGTAAGCCAGTGAAGCTGACTGCGTAAATAAGAGATCATGTATTCGGGTGAGGAACATCGCCTCCAATCATACAGGCGTGTGAAAGGCATTTAATGTCAGTCACTTCAGTTTCAGTTTTCAGTGAGGTACATTGTTGTCACTTAACGTAGTTCGCTAACGACATAATGCCAGTGACTTCCCTAGCCGTCCACATGAACAATAATGTGCGCCCTTAGTCAAAACTATTCCAAGAATCAGCTCGAAAAGTCCGAGTTTAAAAAACTCGGACTTTTCGAGTTGATTCCCATTTTTTTAAAAAACAACGCTAAAATCCGGATAAAAAGATTTCGGGTAGTCGATTTGATAAGAAACAAATTGGACTTCTAGAAATATAGTAGTTGCTATAATACCGTACCCTGCATGCATAAGTCCCGGAACGTACTATATTTTAACACGCGTTGCCTCGTTGGAGGAACCTAAAACGCCACATTTCCGTGCAATCCCAAAATCTGGTTATTTGAACGGAAAATGTACAGCCCATGTTTTCGGATTGGAGGGGGTGAAATGGCCCGCAAATCTATCGTGATGCAGAGACCAAATCGGCATCAGTGGCGTTTGAGAAGCATGAACAACCCGCAAACGTAGCCCCGAAGCAAGGCTTAGGTCTACAGTTCCCTGCCTAGCGCTGGGCCGGCCTTCTAAAGGTTTTAAGGACAGGTAGAGCCACATCTAGCAGCTCTATTACCCAGTTCCCAGGGATTTGCAATAGATTTGGGTGCCATGACACCCGTCCTGAAAACCGAAACATGGATGTCCATGATTTCAGCATGTTCTACATGTTTGGAGATCTTACTTGGTTTTAGTATGCATTTATCCCTAACCCTATTCCGAAACATGGGCTGTAGGGCCAGCCTTATTTGAACTGCAGTTTTCAAGCTTAATTCAAGTATCAATCGGTAGCTATCGATATTGTGAGTGTAATAACAGTGGTTTCAACTTCATACGCGCAACTCATATGAAGGGTCGCCTTGCAACTATGCCGAACCATCCAACTTGCCAATACTTTTAAGTACAAAAAAGACTTCGGAAAGGTAAGCAAAAACGTCGGCTTTCTGTCCAGAAAAAAATATGTGTAAAAAGTTTACTTCTGTCCGCTTCGCCTATCGTCCACATCTATTCCGATGATTCGAAGAATAACATGTATGGCATTCGTCTTGCTTCATGGTGTATAGGGGGTCTGCCTCGCGCCCTCTTTTCGGCATTCCGTTGTTGCGGGGAACAGCGCCCCATGTACATACTGCACAGAGTAAACATCGTTGCAAATGGCGCACGTTGTTAATGTTCTCTCAGCTGTCGTGAGATCGCCAAGCATAATCAATTAGTTATTCATACACTGTAGTTGGGACCATCGTTTGAAATGGTTGACCGGAACACTGTACTGTCGATTAGGACCATGAACTGCAGTGCCCGCCTGGAGCCCTTTGGTCAGGGCTCTTTCCAAATACGCGCAAATTCTCCGAGGGCCACACAGGACTTCTTATCATATAGCACGTGTGCTGTGTGCCTCCAATTGTGCTTCGGACACATGGGCTTATGCCCATTCCTGTCGAGTCAAGGCATTCCAAACGATGGTACGACCGCTGGTGTCATACTAGACTGCATTCCTGTCGAGTCAAGGCATTCCAAACGATGGTACGACCGCTGGTGTCATACTAGACTGCGTTATCGATGTATTACTTCAACGACTTCAATCTGCATCTTGAAGTACTTGGTTTCTGTATGCAATTGCATAAATACGGGTGGCACAAACCGCCTGTGTATTTACAGTGCGGGCGCATCCATTTGCACCACGATTTGATCGTTCGTGGCCAGAGTATCGCTTCTTCCAATCGCGAGCTGTCTTTCTTGTGTGGGTCATCAATTGGCCGCATAATTGTATCCGGTGCCCCCATCCCAATATGGGCTCCTCGGCGCTGTACCTGTATGTTACCGTTATCCGCAGTCCCTACGGCAGTCATGTTGTACACTTCGCATCGGATAAGCTACTTGTCGGCTTCCAGGATCAACAGCGATTCGACAGCTCATTCTCCAACTTTCCGACTGCGTAACGCAGTACCAGCCAACACGATGTTGAAGTCCTGGTTGGCGGCAGCGATGCTGTCCTTACCTACACTGGCAACGGCGCTCTCTGCTGGCCTGGGCGACTCCTACGATGCTCAAGCCCAAGCGATCGTCGACGGGTTCTCTATTGACCAAGTCATCGGCCAAATGACCCAGCTCGACCTGGGCTTGATCATTAACGGCAGCGACCACACCCTGAACGAAGCTGCGGTGCGCAGATTTGCCAAGATGCACGTAGGCTCGTACCTCAACACGAACTGGGGGGACCAGCCCATCAATGGTAGCTACGGCTTCAACGCGACGGGATTCCGCTCGATGATTACGCGCATCCAGGAGATCACCATGGAGGAGAACGGAGGCCACCCCATGATCTACGGCATCGACTCCATCCACGGCGCCAGCTACGTCGCGGGTGCCATGCTTTTCCCCCACGAAATCAACAGCGGTGCGAGTTTCAACCCGGACCTGGTTCATGAGGTTGGCCAGATAACTGCTCGTGATACGGAAGCGGCCGGCATCCCGTGGATTTTTGGGCCCATTCTCGACATTTCCCAAAACACGCTTTGGGCCCGCACGTACGAGACGTTTGGCGAGGACCCGTACCTCGCTTCGGTCATGGGTGCGGCTTACGTCCGCGGCCTGCAGAGCTACAACCAGACAGCTGCGTGTGTCAAGCACTTCATCGGTTATTCCAAGACCCCCACGGGCCATGACCGTGACAACGTCCTGATGAGTGACTTCGATCTGTTGAACTACTTCATGCCGCCGTTCATGGCTGCGTTTGAGGCTGGTGCTCACTCTGTGATGGAGAACTACATCTCTCTCAACGGCAACCCGGTCGTGGAGAGCTCCAAGATCCTGAATGACCTCCTTCGCACGGACATGGGCTACGAAGGAGTGCTGCTGACGGACTGGAACGAGATCTACAACCTCCACGACTTCCACCGCGTTGCTAGCACGCGCGAGGAGGCTGTGTCCAGCTCTCTGCAGCACACGTCGATTGACGTGAGCATGGTGCCCTCCGACACGGATTTCATCAACTACACCCGTTCCATGCTGGACAAGCACCCGGAGCAGGAAGCTCGTCTGCGTGAATCGGTGAAGCGTGTGATCAAGATGAAACTGCAGCTCGGACTCTACGACAACCCGGTGCCGGGTGAGAAGTACGTGTCCATGGTGGGCAATGATAAGGACAAGCAGGCCGCGCTCAACATGGCGCGTGAGTCGATTGTGCTGCTCAAGAATGATAAAGACGTGCTGCCGCTGCCCAAGAGCGCTAAGGTTTTCCTCACGGGCCACTCGGCTGATAATGTCGGCTATCAGTGCGGCGGCTGGACGCTGATCTGGCAGGGCCACTCGGGCAACGCCATGTTCCCGCACGGCGTGTCGGTCCGCAAGGGTCTGGAAGAGATGGTCGGCAACGACTCGTTCACGTACTTTAACGGCCTCATGCCCAACGGCAACATCGCGGACGCGGACATGGCCAAGGCCGTCGAGCTTGCAGGCCAGCACGAGTACACGGTTGCGGTCATCGGTGAATCCTCGTACACGGAGAAGCCCGGTGACATCGACGACCCGGCCCTGCCCGAAGGCCAGGAGAAGTTCATCAAGGCCCTGGCCGCCACGGGCACCAAGGTCATCGTCGTGCTGTTTGGCGGTCGCCCGCGACTGCTTGGCTCCATCCCTGACCACGCCGTCGCCATCATCAACGGCATGTTGCCCTGCGAACTCGGCGGTCAGGCCATGGCCGAGATCCTCTACGGCGACGTCAACCCCAGCGGCAAGCTGCCGATCACGTACCCGAAGGACCCGGCCAACATCGCCATCCCGTACAACCACCTCGTAACCACACGCTGCATGTGGGACAACTGCTGGATGCAATGGGACTTCGGCGCCGGCCTGAGCTACACCAAGTTCAACTACTCGTCCGTCACGCTGGACAAGACGACCATCGCGAACGCGGGCGACACGCTGACGGCCTCGGTGACCGTCACGAACGTGGGCAAGCGCGCCGGCAAGGAGACGGTGATGCTGTTCCTGATCCAGCCGTACCGCAAGATCTCGGTGCCCGAGATGAAGATGCTCAAGAAGTTCAAGAAGATCGAGCTGCAGGCGGGCGAGTCCATGGACGTGTCGTTCTCGCTGTCGGCGGAAGACTGGGGCGTGTACCAGCCGCAGATCGGCCAGGGCCTCAAGCGCATCGTCGAGGACAGTAAGTACGTGGTGGCCATCAAGCCGGACACGTGGTGCGATGTGTACTGGGGGGGCGCTAAGAACCCGCTGTGCGCAGAGTTCACCATCGACACGACTAGCGGTGCGGGCACTGTCAGTGCTGGCGTCCAGCTCTAGACAGCTTCGGTTGTTGAGAGTTGGCGAAGTTTGGGGTTCTTTTGCTTAGAATGCAGATCCATTTCTTTAGATGAGGCCCAGGCAGGACACTCAATACATTCTACCATTGGAGATACAGATGCCCGTAACTACTATGAGTTGTCGTAGATCAAGAAATTTCCAGTCCCATCCATCGATCTACTCAGTGTTGCATTGCATTTTGTAGTAGTATAGTAATTGTTATTTTTCGAGGTGGTGGTTGGCCCAGAACGTTTTAGCTGAGAAATCGTGGCCTCGACAACCTTGTGCAATGGGCAACCGCGAGTTCGTGTACATGTATGTTTCTGCGTATCTTACAGTACTGTACCCTGTATAGGTCTTCTGTACTGTTGAAGTAGCTCGTTGGTCTCATCCGATTTTTATCTGCGATTTGAGTTTGGGCGGGCAGATCTATCGCTTCCTTCGATAGCGAACTGTTCTAACTGTCATTTTGTGTATCGGTGTGCTTGCTCCGGGGATCTCTGAATGGTCGATGCCCAGTTTGTTCAGAGATAGCTTTTACTGTTGCGAAGGAACGTCCTTATAAGTTCTGTATCTTAACGTGAGCGACACGATTTGCATTCCCCAACAGCCGGGGACTTCGGAAACACCAGCCAGTGGTTAGCGTATGAATTGCTTGGACAAACCGTTCCACAACGGCAGTCATGTTGTAAGTATTCCCAGCGGAATTATCTACATTCGCTACGCACCACTGAGCGAGGCTCGAAGCTCATTCTCCAATTTCCCCGCAATCTCGTAGTACGAGCCGAAGAATCGCGAGCGACTATGGTGAAATCGTGGTTGGCGGTCGCCTTCTTGTCCCTGCCTGGTGTGGCCACCGCGCTCACTGCTGCGAATACCAACTCTTTTGACGCCCAAGCTCAAGCCATTGTCGACGGGTTCTCTGCAGCCGAAATCTTGGGCCAGATGACACAGCTTGATCTTAGCACCGTCATGAACAACGTCACCCGGGAGCTGAACGAGACCGCCGTGCGCATGTTCGCCAAGAGGAGTGTGGGGTCCTACTTCAACACGTACTACGAGGAGAAGCCGTTCAAAGGCTACTATGGTTACAATGCCACCGGCTTTCGCACGCTCGTCAACCGCATCCAAGAAATCTCAATGGAGGAGAACGGAGGTCACCCCGTGATCTACGGCCTCGACTCCATTCACGGGGCCAACTAACTGTCCGGGTCCGTGAAGCTTCCACACCAAATCAACAGCGCCGCCAGTTTCAACCTTGATCTGGTTCACAAGGTTGGCCAAATCACCGCGCGTGACACTGAAGCTGCTGGAATTTCGTGGATCTTTGGGCCGATCCTCGACATTTCACAAAACTCTCTCTGGGCTCGCACCTTTGAGACGTTCGGCGAGGACCCGTACCTCGCTTCGGTCATGGGGGCGTCTTACGTTCGTGGCCTGCAGACCTACAACCAGACCGCCGCATGCGTCAAGGACTTCATCGGGTATTCCAAGACGCCTACGGGACACGATCGCGACGGTATTCTGATGCCAGACTTCGATCTGCTGAATTACTTCTTGCCGCCGTACAAGGCTGCGTTTGAGGCAGGTGCGTTGTCCGTGATGGAAAACTACATTTCGCTCAACGGTGACCCGGTGGTCTCCAGCTCCAAGATTCTGAAAGACCTGCTTCGTACGGACCTCGGCTACGACGGCGTACTAGTCACCGACTGGAACGAGATGAACAATCTCCACGACTTCCACTGCGTCTACAGCACCCGCGAGGAAGCCGTTGCTGTGTCCTTGAAGGAGACAACAATCGACATGAGCATGGTTCCCTACGACGCGGACTTCTGTCCAGAAAAAAATATGTGTAAAAAGTTTACTTCTGTCCGCTTCGCCTAACGTCCACATCTATTCCGATGATTCGAAGAATAACATGTATGGCATTCGTCTTGCTTCATGGTGTATAGGGGGTCTGCCTTGCGCCCTCTTTTCGGCATTCCGTTGTTGCGGGGAACAGCGCCCCATGTACATACTGCACAGAGTAAACATCGTTGCAAATGGCGCACGTTGTTAATGTTCTCTCAGCTGTCGTGAGATCGCCAAGCATAATCAATTAGTTATTCATACACTGTAGTTGGGACCATCGTTTGAAATGGTTGACCGGAACACTGTACTGTCGATTAGGACCATGAACTGCAGTGCCCGCCTGGAGCCCTTTGGTCAGGGCTCTTTCCAAATACGCGCAAATTCTCCGAGGGCCACACAGGACTTCTTATCATATAGCACGTGTGCTGTGTGCCTCCAACTGTGCTTCGGACACATGGGCTTATGCCCATTCCTGTCGAGTCAAGGCATTCCAAACGATGGTACGACCGCTGGTGTCATACTAGACTGCATTCCTGTCGAGTCAAGGCATTCCAAACGATGGTACGTCATACTAGACTGCGTTATCGATGTATTACTTCAACGACTTCAATCTGCATCTTGAAGTACTTGGTTTCTGTATGCAATTGCATGAATACGGGTGGCACAAACCGCCTGTGTATTTACAGTGCGGGCGCATCCATTTGCACCACGATTTGATCGTTCGTGGCCAGAGTATCGCTTCTTCCAATCGCGAGCTGTCTTTCTTGTGTGGGTCATCAATTGGCCGCATAATTGTATCCGGTGCCCCCATCCCAATATGGGCTCCTCGGCGCTGTACCTGTATGTTACCGTTATCCGCAGTCCCTACGGCAGTCATGTTGTACACTTCGCATCGGATAAGCTACTTGTCGGCTTCCAGGATCAACAGCGATTCGACAGCTCATTCTCCAACTTTCCGACTGCGTAACGCAGTACCAGCCAACACGATGTTGAAGTCCTGGTTGGCGGCAGCGATGCTGTCCTTACCTACACTGGCAACGGCGCTCTCTGCTGGCCTGGGCGACTCCTACGATGCTCAAGCCCAAGCGATCGTCGACGGGTTCTCTATTGACCAAGTCATCGGCCAAATGACCCAGCTCGACCTGGGCTTGATCATTAACGGCAGCGACCACACCCTGAACGAAGCTGCGGTGCGCAGATTTGCCAAGATGCACGTAGGCTCGTACCTCAACACGAACTGGGGGGACCAGCCCATCAATGGTAGCTACGGCTTCAACGCGACGGGATTCCGCTCGATGATTACGCGCATCCAGGAGATCACCATGGAGGAGAACGGAGGCCACCCCATGATCTACGGCATCGACTCCATCCACGGCGCCAGCTACGTCGCGGGTGCCATGCTTTTCCCCCACGAAATCAACAGCGGTGCGAGTTTCAACCCGGACCTGGTTCATGAGGTTGGCCAGATAACTGCTCGTGATACGGAAGCGGCCGGCATCCCGTGGATTTTTGGGCCCATTCTCGACATTTCCCAAAACACGCTTTGGGCCCGCACGTACGAGACGTTTGGCGAGGACCCGTACCTCGCTTCGGTCATGGGTGCGGCTTACGTCCGCGGCCTGCAGAGCTACAACCAGACAGCTGCGTGTGTCAAGCACTTCATCGGTTATTCCAAGACCCCCACGGGCCATGACCGTGACAACGTCCTGATGAGTGACTTCGATCTGTTGAACTACTTCATGCCGCCGTTCATGGCTGCGTTTGAGGCTGGTGCTCACTCTGTGATGGAGAACTACATCTCTCTCAACGGCAACCCGGTCGTGGAGAGCTCCAAGATCCTGAATGACCTCCTTCGCACGGACATGGGCTACGAAGGAGTGCTGCTGACGGACTGGAACGAGATCTACAACCTCCACGACTTCCACCGCGTTGCTAGCACGCGCGAGGAGGCTGTGTCCAGCTCTCTGCAGCACACGTCGATTGACGTGAGCATGGTGCCCTCCGACACGGATTTCATCAACTACACCCGTTCCATGCTGGACAAGCACCCGGAGCAGGAAGCTCGTCTGCGTGAATCGGTGAAGCGTGTGATCAAGATGAAACTGCAGCTCGGACTCTACGACAACCCGGTGCCGGGTGAGAAGTACGTGTCCATGGTGGGCAATGATAAGGACAAGCAGGCCGCGCTCAACATGGCGCGTGAGTCGATTGTGCTGCTCAAGAATGATAAAGACGTGCTGCCGCTGCCCAAGAGCGCTAAGGTTTTCCTCACGGGCCACTCGGCTGATAATGTCGGCTATCAGTGCGGCGGCTGGACGCTGATCTGGCAGGGCCACTCGGGCAACGCCATGTTCCCGCACGGCGTGTCGGTCCGCAAGGGTCTGGAAGAGATGGTCGGCAACGACTCGTTCACGTACTTTAACGGCCTCATGCCCAACGGCAACATCGCGGACGCGGACATGGCCAAGGCCGTCGAGCTTGCAGGCCAGCACGAGTACACGGTTGCGGTCATCGGTGAATCCTCGTACACGGAGAAGCCCGGTGACATCGACGACCCGGCCCTGCCCGAAGGCCAGGAGAAGTTCATCAAGGCCCTGGCCGCCACGGGCACCAAGGTCATCGTCGTGCTGTTTGGCGGTCGCCCGCGACTGCTTGGCTCCATCCCTGACCACGCCGTCGCCATCATCAACGGCATGTTGCCCTGCGAACTCGGCGGTCAGGCCATGGCCGAGATCCTCTACGGCGACGTCAACCCCAGCGGCAAGCTGCCGATCACGTACCCGAAGGACCCGGCCAACATCGCCATCCCGTACAACCACCTCGTAACCACACGCTGCATGTGGGACAACTGCTGGATGCAATGGGACTTCGGCGCCGGCCTGAGCTACACCAAGTTCAACTACTCGTCCGTCACGCTGGACAAGACGACCATCGCGAACGCGGGCGACACGCTGACGGCCTCGGTGACCGTCACGAACGTGGGCAAGCGCGCCGGCAAGGAGACGGTGATGCTGTTCCTGATCCAGCCGTACCGCAAGATCTCGGTGCCCGAGATGAAGATGCTCAAGAAGTTCAAGAAGATCGAGCTGCAGGCGGGCGAGTCCATGGACGTGTCGTTCTCGCTGTCGGCGGAGGACTGGGGCGTGTACCAGCCGCAGATCGGCCAGGGCCTCAAGCGCATCGTCGAGGACAGTAAGTACGTGGTGGCCATCAAGCCGGACACGTGGTGCGATGTGTACTGGGGGGGCGCTAAGAACCCGCTGTGCGCAGAGTTCACCATCGACACGACTAGCGGTGCGGGCACTGTCAGTGCTGGCGTCCAGCTCTAGACAGCTTCGGTTGTTGAGAGTTGGCGAAGTTTGGGGTTCTTTTGCTTAGAATGCAGATCCATTTCTTTAGATGAGGCCCAGGCAGGACACTCAATACATTCTACCATTGGAGATACAGATGCCCGTAACTACTATGAGTTGTCGTAGATCAAGAAATTTCCAGTCCCATCCATCGATCTACTCAGTGTTGCATTGCATTTTGTAGTAGTATAGTAATTGTTATTTTTCGAGGTGGTGGTTGGCCCAGAACGTTTTAGCTGAGAAATCGTGGCCTCGACAACCTTGTGCAATGGGCAACCGCGAGTTCGTGTACATGTATGTTTCTGCGTATCTTACAGTACTGTACCCTGTATAGGTCTTCTGTACTGTTGAAGTAGCTCGTTGGTCTCATCCGATTTTTATCTGCGATTTGAGTTTGGGCGGGCAGATCTATCGCTTCCTTCGATAGCGAACTGTTCTAACTGTCATTTTGTGTATCGGTGTGCTTGCTCCGGGGATCTCTGAATGGTCGATGCCCAGTTTGTTCAGAGATAGCTTTTACTGTTGCGAAGGAACGTCCTTATAAGTTCTGTATCTTAACGTGAGCGACACGATTTGCATTCCCCAACAGCCGGGGACTTCGGAAACACCAGCCAGTGGTTAGCGTATGAATTGCTTGGACAAACCGTTCCACAACGGCAGTCATGTTGTAAGTATTCCCAGCGGAATTATCTACATTCGCTACGCACCACTGAGCGAGGCTCGAAGCTCATTCTCCAATTTCCCCGCAATCTCGTAGTACGAGCCGAAGAATCGCGAGCGACTATGGTGAAATCGTGGTTGGCGGTCGCCTTCTTGTCCCTGCCTGGTGTGGCCACCGCGCTCACTGCTGCGAATACCAACTCTTTTGACGCCCAAGCTCAAGCCATTGTCGACGGGTTCTCTGCAGCCGAAATCTTGGGCCAGATGACACAGCTTGATCTTAGCACCGTCATGAACAACGTCACCCGGGAGCTGAACGAGACCGCCGTGCGCATGTTCGCCAAGAGGAGTGTGGGGTCCTACTTCAACACGTACTACGAGGAGAAGCCGTTCAAAGGCTACTATGGTTACAATGCCACCGGCTTTCGCACGCTCGTCAACCGCATCCAAGAAATCTCAATGGAGGAGAACGGAGGTCACCCCGTGATCTACGGCCTCGACTCCATTCACGGGGCCAACTAACTGTCCGGGTCCGTGAAGCTTCCACACCAAATCAACAGCGCCGCCAGTTTCAACCTTGATCTGGTTCACAAGGTTGGCCAAATCACCGCGCGTGACACTGAAGCTGCTGGAATTTCGTGGATCTTTGGGCCGATCCTCGACATTTCACAAAACTCTCTCTGGGCTCGCACCTTTGAGACGTTCGGCGAGGACCCGTACCTCGCTTCGGTCATGGGGGCGTCTTACGTTCGTGGCCTGCAGACCTAGAACCAGACCGCCGCATGCGTCAAGCACTTCATCGGGTATTCCAAGACCCCCACGGGCCATGACCGTGACAACGTCCTGATGAGTGACTTCGATCTGTTGAACTACTTCATGCCGCCGTTCATGGCTGCGTTTGAGGCTGGTGCTCACTCTGTGATGGAGAACTACATCTCTCTCAACGGCAACCCGGTCGTGGAGAGCTCCAAGATCCTGAATGACCTCCTTCGCACGGACATGGGCTACGAAGGAGTGCTGCTGACGGACTGGAACGAGATCTACAACCTCCACGACTTCCACCGCGTTGCTAGCACGCGCGAGGAGGCTGTGTCCAGCTCTCTGCAGCACACGTCGATTGACGTGAGCATGGTGCCCTCCGACACGGATTTCATCAACTACACCCGTTCCATGCTGGACAAGCACCCGGAGCAGGAAGCTCGTCTGCGTGAATCGGTGAAGCGTGTGATCAAGATGAAACTGCAGCTCGGACTCTACGACAACCCGGTGCCGGGTGAGAAGTACGTGTCCATGGTGGGCAATGATAAGGACAAGCAGGCCGCGCTCAACATGGCGCGTGAGTCGATTGTGCTGCTCAAGAATGATAAAGACGTGCTGCCGCTGCCCAAGAGCGCTAAGGTTTTCCTCACGGGCCACTCGGCTGATAATGTCGGCTATCAGTGCGGCGGCTGGACGCTGATCTGGCAGGGCCACTCGGGCAACGCCATGTTCCCGCACGGCGTGTCGGTCCGCAAGGGTCTGGAAGAGATGGTCGGCAACGACTCGTTCACGTACTTTAACGGCCTCATGCCCAACGGCAACATCGCGGACGCGGACATGGCCAAGGCCGTCGAGCTTGCAGGCCAGCACGAGTACACGGTTGCGGTCATCGGTGAATCCTCGTACACGGAGAAGCCCGGTGACATCGACGACCCGGCCCTGCCCGAAGGCCAGGAGAAGTTCATCAAGGCCCTGGCCGCCACGGGCACCAAGGTCATCGTCGTGCTGTTTGGCGGTCGCCCGCGACTGCTTGGCTCCATCCCTGACCACGCCGTCGCCATCATCGACGGCATGTTGCCCTGCGAACTCGGCGGTCAGGCCATGGCCGAGATCCTCTACGGCGACGTCAACCCCAGCGGCAAGCTGCCGATCACGTACCCGAAGGACCCGGCCAACATCGCCATCCCGTACAACCACCTCGTAACCACACGCTGCATGTGGGACAACTGCTGGATGCAATGGGACTTCGGCGCCGGCCTGAGCTACACCAAGTTCAACTACTCGTCCGTCACGCTGGACAAGACGACCATCGCGAACGCGGGCGACACGCTGACGGCCTCGGTGACCGTCACGAACGTGGGCAAGCGCGCCGGCAAGGAGACGGTGATGCTGTTCCTGATCCAGCCGTACCGCAAGATCTCGGTGCCCGAGATGAAGATGCTCAAGAAGTTCAAGAAGATCGAGCTGCAGGCGGGCGAGTCCATGGACGTGTCGTTCTCGCTGTCGGCGGAAGACTGGGGCGTGTACCAGCCGCAGATCGGCCAGGGCCTCAAGCGCATCGTCGAGGACAGTAAGTACGTGGTGGCCATCAAGCCGGACACGTGGTGCGATGTGTACTGGGGGGGCGCTAAGAACCCGCTGTGCGCAGAGTTCACCATCGACACGACTAGCGGTGCGGGCACTGTCAGTGCTGGTGTTCAACTTTAGAAACGTATCGAAGTTTTTGGGTCTTCATGTACTGTTGCCCCCCCCCCCCCCCAGAATCTGCATGAAATGACAGTAAGATGCTTACCAGGTTTGCCGTGGACTGCATTATACTTTTACTGCCTTTTCTGCGGTAGCTGGCGCCTTGATAATAGAAAATTCATCATGAATGATGCCCGTTGCGCTCTCAATCTTCGACAGTGTTAGGTTGGTCGGGGTCACTGACAGCCGAGTAATGCTGAAGTGCTTGTTGTCCACCAGCGCGAGCCACGCCGGCGACGGAGGGCTCGTATACTGGAACAATCCCTCTGGGCCGCCTGCAGTTCCTTGGATAACGTACACAGGCGCCTGCGGGTTCTCGTATGCCTTGTTGTCTTTTGAAACTCCATCCATAACAGCACTGCTGTTCGCAGTCGGATAAAGCCGCTCATACGTATGAACGTGACCTTGCAGCACCAGATCCACCTTGTACTTGATGAACAGCTCCTCAAACGCTTCCTGCACATTCCGAGCCTCGTAGTCGTTGTTCGGCGTACCATCCGCATCACACGAACGGATCGTGTACATCGGTCGGTGCATACCGACAATAATCCACGGAACTTGGTCGCGGTTGGAGTCCGCAGCCTTCAGATCCTCTTCTAGCCACGCCAGTTGATCACCGAAGTTCCCATACACACGTTTCGTGAAGTACGCGTTGCTGGGGGCGTTCGGGTAGTCCGTCTCAGACGACAGCGACGTGAAGTGGACCGTGCCGTACTCGTACGAGTACCACATATTGAGCACGCCCCCGCTCTCGGCCGACGGCATCCTGAAGCGTGAGTTGAACGCCGAGTAGTTGCCCAGTTGGTCCTTCTTGCTCTTGGATAATAGACACGTCGGGGAGTGGCATTCCGCTTCGTGGTTCCCCACGAGCACCATGTAGGCCATCCGCCGCATGATGTTGGTCATGGAGTTCATGAACTTGTTGTACACCTGCTCGTAGTAAAATCCAAACACTTTCTCGGCTGTGAGGAAGGCGTTGTCCGCGTAGGAAATGTCCCCGAGGTGGTAGACGAAATCCACTTCGTCCACGAGGCTGTTCATGTACATGTTGGTGGCGACCGAGTTGTCATCCGCTCCCATGTCGCCGTACACTGCGATAGTGAACGGGCTTTCGTCCCCAGAGGCGCGCGCTGTCTTAAAGGAGCTCACCCCGCTCTGAAAGTGCTTGTTCTTGGCGTTGCCGACCTTATAAAAGTACTTTGTGTTCGGCTTCAATCCGCTCACAACCGCGTGGTAGCTGTAGAGTTCGTAGTCCTTGTCCTTGTAGTACGACTTGGTCTCAATTTCAGCATTGGCCACCACCTTTAGCTTGGCCTCAGTGCGGCCGAGCCACACCATTGGCGCACTGTCCAGTTTAAACGTCGTCCAAGAGATCGCCATCCCCGTTCCAGCTTCTTCTCCAGCGAATGCCAAGTGCAGCTGCTGCGGCGCCATAGTCGCGTTGCTCGTGTCACGCACTCGGCAGGCGTGAGAGGGCGTGACGTCGCCGAACTGGTACTGCAGAGAGCACGAGGCTTCGGGCGTGCAGCTCAATGAGGACCAATCATACACGCACTTGTCGTCGTCCACGACGCTGCCCGACACGGCCGAGTTGTCGTCGTCGCTGAAGAATTTCTTAACGTGGTCCACGAAGCCGGCCGACTTGCCCGAGACGACGGAGCACAAGACGGCAGCGACCGCCACGCAGATGGCCCGCATTGCTTGAAGCGAAGATGTTAAATTAGTCCGAGGTGTTGCTCACCGGGAAAAACACCGAGTGGCAGTGGCAATGGGACACCGCTCTCCGACGGCAACATAAAAGTTAGGAGGAGGCAGGTTCCTTGCCGTTCAAGAAACTCACCATCCCGAAATTGATCCTCCGTCTCCATTACACCGTTTTGAAAATCAATACCTGCGAATAATTTGTGAACTTTATTGCCTTTGTGGTAGTTCTCTCCGTAGTTGATGTTAATGATTGTAGGTTTTATTACAAATGGATGGCAACATTGAAAACAAAAGTGTACTTCGATCTAAGTGTTCGCTTGACCACCGTGAAAAACCTCAATTCGAAGTGTTCATTCGCACTAGCTTTTCGTCATGATATGGCGTACTACGACTGCATTTGCGTACTGTAAGTTACTGTAACAAAGCTTACTTGCAGAGCCAAAACTTATACAGGAAAGCGCGTAGAACCGAAGACTTCAGTGACAAACTACTCCCAAGAACTTGTAACACCAATTTAATGGTTTAAAAAACATTATACGTGTATAACGTTAATACATGTACTCGACTTGCTCACACCTTTTGAGTCTGAGATTGAGTGGTAGCTTGCTTCGGCGATCCAGTGGCAGCTTTCTTGATGATCGAGAACTCGTCGTGCACCGTGCCGGTGGAAGCCTCAATCATCGTGATGGTGAGGTTGGTCGGCGTGACCGAGAGCGTCGTGATGCCGTAGTGCTTGTTGTCCATGATAGCGAGCCACTTGGGCGACGGCGGGTTCTTGAACTGGTACAGACCCTCCGAGTTGCCGGCAATGCCCGCGATAACGTGGACAGGCGCCTTCGGGTTCGTGTACGTCTTGCCATCCTTGGACACGCCGTGCATGATCGCCTTGCTGTTGGCCGTCGGGTAGTGTCGCTCGTAGGCGTGCACGTGGCCCTGGTACACCAGATCCACCTTGTACTTGATGAAGAGCTTCTCGAACGCCTTCTGCACCTTGAGCGACTCGTACTCGTCGTTCGGCACACCGTTGGCGTCGCAAGAGCGGAGAGTGTACAGGGGTCGGTGCATGCCGACAACGATCCAGGGCACGTTCGCACGGTTGGCGTGGGCAGCCTTGAGGTCGGCCTCGAGCCACGCGAGCTGATTGCCGAAGTTGCCGTACGTGCGCTTAGTGTAGTACGCGTTGCTGGGCGCGTTGGGGAAGTCCGTCTCGGACGAGATGGTCGTGAAGTGCACCGACCCGTACTCGTACGAGTACCACATATTGAGAGTTCCACCGCTCTCGGGCGACGGCATACGGAAGCGCGCGTTGAAGGCCGTGTAGTTGCCGAGCTGGTCCTTCTTGCTATCGGACAGCAGACACGTGGGCGAGTGGCACTCGGCCTCGTGGTTGCCCACCACCACCATGTAGGCCATGTGCCGCATGACGTTGGTCAGCGAGTTCATGAACTTGTTGAAGATCTCCTCGTAGAAAAAGCCGAACGCGGTCTTAGCCGTCAGAAAGTCGTTGTCGGCGTACGAAATGTCGCCCAAGTGGTAGATAAAGTCGACCTTGCCCACCAGGTCGTTCACGTACTTGTTGGCCGCCACGGAGTTGGCCTCGGTGCCCATGTCGCCGTACACGGCCACAACGAACGGACTCTCGTCGCCGCTGGCGCGGGCCGTCTTGAACGAGCTCACCTCGCTCTGGTGCATCGTCTTCGCGGAGCCGCCGACCTTGTAGAAATACTCGGTGTTGGGCTCGAGGCCGCTGACAACCGCGTGGTAGTTGTACAGCTCGTAGTCTTCGTCCTTGTAGTACGTCTTGGTCTCGATCTTGGCGTCCTTGACCAGGGTGACCTTGGCCTTGCTGGTGCCGATCCAGACGGCAGGAGACTTCTCCAGTGCGAACGTGGTCCAGGAGATGGCCATGCCGGTGCCGGCCTCCTCTCCGGCAAAGGCCAAGTGGAACTGCTGCGGTACGAGGGTGTGGTCGCCCGTGTTCGACACTCGGCACGCCTGGGACGGCGTCACGTCGCCGAACTGGTACTGCAGCGAGCACTTTTCCTCGGGCATGCAGCTCAGCGAGGACCACTCGTACACACAAGTTCGGTCGTCCGTGTTGGTCTGTTTGGCCTGCTGGGCAGAGTCCGTGGACCCCGTGGCGTCGTCGTCGCTGAAGAAGTTCTTAATCAAAGCCTTGAAGCCGGCCGACTTGGCCGACGTGGCGACGCACATGGCGCTCGCGACCAGCGCAAACTTATAGGCCGTGTGAAGCCGCATTAGGTCGACTGAATCAGCAGGACTGTACGCCGGTTTAGGAGGCTGTTGTCTACCACAAGTAGCTTGCAAAAGCTTGAGTGTTGTGTGTGGGACCTTCGCGTGGTAGGTCGCGAGCCGGCAATTGATTACATGTGTAGCGCTGCAAAGGTCCCATCCCAACTTTTGCATTCCTCGGCTTGGCGGTCGAGTCCAACGAGGTTGCCGTGATTGGACATGAAAGAGACCAACAGGATGGTGTGCGTTTCGACGGGAGAGCCGAAAATTGTCGTCGGCCCGTCAACGAATTGTGGTTTCGGATCGAGTCTTTACCATTCGCGCTTTACCTTTGCACGCCCAGCTGTGGGCACAGCAAGAGGAATCGCTCCGTCTGGATCGACAGCGAACCTATCGGACACAAATTGGTCACCAAATGCCGTGTCGAGGTAAGTTTCCCGACAACGAGAATGAACAGGGCTGGGAACTCAAGGAAGAGCTTGTCGGCGTGTTTCCTGGTAAGCTAATGTGTCAAATCGATACTTTTACTTTGGGAGAATCTTGCGTGTGTGCGTGTGTTTGTGTTTGTGTTTGTGCGTGAAGATATATGAATCGCCGACGGTCCGTCAGAGGGAAAATCGGTCGTAATCGACCGACCGATCCTCGCTTGTCTTCATCGTTGCCTTGTGCTCCGATTTTTTCTGACACTAGGCAGGACTGCGGCGCAGGAGGGGTCGCTGTTGGCGTTGCTGCTGCTGCTCCTGCCAACAGCAAGGATGTGCCAGTGAACGATGCTGCTGACCTATGTGTGTGGACAAGCTGGACTAAAAATGCAAAAGTCACTCAGCAACATTGAAGAAGGTCTCAGTTGATGCGATCAGAGGCCGTTGAAGCTACCATAAAACGACTCATCGTTGCGAATGAAGTGTAAAGAATAAAACGGGGTTGCCTGGCGAACCACTGCACCGAGTCTTTAACATTAGGTGTCCATTCCTTGAGCGACAAATTGATTCAGAGTGTGTTGATCTTCACGCGTGCTCCTTGTATTTACCTACTACAGCGCAGTATTAGCAGTATACGAAACGCATTTGCAGTTTGCTCGCTAGGATATAGCGACCGTCTATCAAACCGAGTCTATCCGCTGTGACTAGCGCCTGCCTCTTTCACGATCGAGAACTCGTCGTACACCGTGCCTGTCGCACTCTCAATCATCGTAAGCGTAAGATTCGTCGGCGTGACAAGCAGCTTGGTGATGCCGAAGTGCTCGTCGTCCATCAGCACGAGCCATTCCGGCGACGGCGGGTTCTTATACTTGTAGTGGTTCTCTGGGCCTGCCCGAAATCACGTACACTCGCGCCTGTGGATTCGTATTGGTCGAGACATCTTCGGAAACCCCATCTATAACGGCGCTGCCGTTTGCCGTCGGATAGATTCGTTCATACGCGTGCACGTGGCCTTGCAGCACCAGATCCACCTTGTACTTGATGAACAGCTCCTCAAACGCTTCCTGCACATTCCGAGCCTCGTAGTCGTTGTTCGGCGTACCATCCGCATCACACGAACGGATCGTGTACATCGGTTGGTGGATGCCAACAATAATCCACGGAACTTGGTCGCGGTTGGAGTCTGCAGCCTTCAGATCCTCTTCTAGCCACGCCAGTTGATCACCGAAGTTCCCATACACACGTTTCGTGAAGTACACGTTGCTGGGGGCGTTCGGGTAGTCCGTCTCAGACGACAGCGACGTGAAGTGGACCGTGCCGTACTCGTACGAGTACCACATATTGAGCATGCCCCCGCTCTCGGCCGACGGCATCCTGAAGCGTGAGTTGAACGCCGAGTAGTTGCCCAGTTGGTCCTTCTTGCTCTTGGATAATAGACACGTCGGGGAGTGGCATTCCGCTTCGTGGTTCCCCACGAGCACCATGTAGGCCATCCGCCGCATGATGTTGGTCATGGAGTTCATGAACTTGTTGTACACCTGCTCGTAGTAAAATCCAAACACTTTCTCGGCTGTGAGGAAGGCGTTGTCCGCGTAGGAAATGTCCCCGAGGTGGTAGACGAAATCCACTTCGTCCACGAGGCTGTTCACGTACTTGTTGGTGGCGACGGAATTGGCTTCTGCTCCCATGTCGTCATACGCAGCGATGGTAAACGGAATCGGGTCGCCAGCAGCTCGCGCTGTCTTAAACGAACTCACCAAGCTTTGGAACTTGCCGGTCGGAGCGCTGCCGACCTTGTAGAAGTACTCTGTACTCGCCTTCAGCCCGTTCACGACTGCGTGGTAGCTGTACAGCTCGTAGTCGTCGTCCTTGTAGTACGATTTGATCTCGATCTCAGCATTGGCCACCTTCAGCTTGGCCTCGCTTGTACCGAGCCACACTGCGGGATCATTCTCCAGCACAAAAGTTGTCCACGAAATGGCCATAGCCGTACCAGCTTCTTCGCCGGCGAAAGCCAGGTGCAGTTGCTGCGGCTTTCGAGCCGAGTCGCTCGAGTCGCTCACTCGACACGCCTGGGAAGGCGTCATGTCGCCGAACTCGTAGTGCAGGGAGCACGACTCCGCAGGCTCGCAGCTTAGCGAAGATCACTTGTAGACGCACGCGTTGTCGTCCACAGTAAGATCTTGAAACGTGGCGCTGCGTGATCCCGCCTGAGTTGTACTTCCCGCAGCCTCCGAGCTGCTGTCATCACCGAATAATTTCTTGACGCTGTCGACGAAACCGGTCGACTCCGCCGAGGCTACGGAACACGAGGCGATTGCGACGAGTAGGGCCCTTGTCTTCATGCTTTCTCGGTCAGTGTATTTGCCGTCACCCGAGTGTTGCTCAGCGCTCAAAACCGCAACTGACATCATCCCCAGCAATGATCACAGGGCGGTGGTACAGCAGGTCGGGTAGACACCATCTCGAGATTGATTCCGTTTCTCGTGTACCAAACCTTCCCGGCTCACAGTGAGGCTGCAAGTTCAGAGGCAGTCACCATCCGCTGTACTGAAGTAAAACTATAGCGCGCTCGAGCAGCTAGTAATGACCAACTTTAGCCTTTGAATCAGAGCGTGTCACGCCGGGATATCTTGTTTTGGTCTCGACTCAACGTGATACTTTGGCCCTCACTGGAACCTCTTGCTGATACAGCTCGACTGTAGTCGCTCCTTTGGCAAGTCTGCATTCCCCGAAACCAGAGAGGAAGGACTGCAGTGAGAGAGCTGGAAAATACCAGTGGACACGATTACGGGCGGATTACCGCGGTATTATGCTGCTTGGCGATCACTGCTCGCTCGTAAGATTCGGTAGATTCAATCGAGTATTTCATCTTCAACAAGCGATCGATGCTTGAGAAAGAAAACCAACCAATGTTTTGAAGTACTGTAAGCAGTCCGGGCGATACTATATCTGTCCAGTGCATTATCTTTTCCCTGCTGCCTTGTACTGCTCTAGAAGTTTTGCACTTAGCAACCGAGCATTAGCCGCAGATACCTTCGATTTTCACCTCTTCTCTTGAAAGGCAGAGCCATGATCATCTTTTAGAATCGAAAACTTGTCGATCTCCGCGCCGGTAGCGCTCTCAACTGTCGTCAGGGTGAGGTTCGACGACGTTACAGAGAGTAATGTGATGGCGTAGTGCTTATTATCCATCACAGCTCGCCACTTGGGCGACTCCGGGTGTTTGTACTTGTACAGACCCTCAGGGCCTCCTGCTGAGCCGGAAATCACGTACACTCGCGCCTGTGGATTCGTATTGGTCGAGACATCTTCGGAAACCCCATCTATAACGGCGCTGCCGTTTGCCGTCGGATAGATTCGTTCATACGCGTGCACGTGGCCTTGCAGCACCAGATCCACCTTGTACTTGATGAACAGCTCCTCAAACGCTTCCTGCACATTCCGAGCCTCGTAGTCGTTGTTCGGCGTACCATCCGCATCACACGAACGGATCGTGTACATCGGTTGGTGGATGCCAACAATAATCCACGGAACTTGGTCGCGGTTGGAGTCTGCAGCCTTCAGATCCTCTTCTAGCCACGCCAGTTGATCACCGAAGTTCCCATACACACGTTTCGTGAAGTACACGTTGCTGGGGGCGTTCGGGTAGTCCGTCTCAGACGACAGCGACGTGAAGTGGACCGTGCCGTACTCGTACGAGTACCACATATTGAGCATGCCCCCGCTCTCGGCCGACGGCATCCTGAAGCGTGAGTTGAACGCCGAGTAGTTGCCCAGTTGGTCCTTCTTGCTCTTGGATAATAGACACGTCGGGGAGTGGCATTCCGCTTCGTGGTTCCCCACGAGCACCATGTAGGCCATCCGCCGCATGATGTTGGTCATGGAGTTCATGAACTTGTTGTACACCTGCTCGTAGTAGAATCCGAACGCCGTCTTGGCTGAGAGGAACGCGTCGTCCGCGTACGACACGTCTCCGAGGTGATAGACGAAGTCCACCTTATCGACAAGACCGTTCACGTACTTGTTGGTTTCCACAGCGTTGGCGTCCGCGCCCATATCTCCGTACACTGCGATCGTGAACGGACTGTCGTCGCCGCTTTTGCGCGCCGTCTTGAAGGAGCTCACCGCACTCTGGAACTTCTTCGTCGAGGCACTGCCAACCTTGTAGAAGTACTCGGTGTTCGGCTTGAGTCCCGTGACGATGGCGTGGTAGCTGTAAAGTGAGTAGCTCTTGTCCTTGTAGTACGACTTGGTTTCGAAAGTCGCGTCTTTCACTGGGGTTAGCTCGTCTTCAGAGCTGCCGATCCACACTGCCGGGTCTTCCTCCAGATCAAACGTCGTCCATGAGATCGTCATACCAGAACCCGCTTTCTTACCAGCGAACGCCAAGTGGAACTGCTGCGGCATCTTGGTCGTGTCGCTCGTGCTACTAACTCGACAGGCCTCGGAAGGAGTCACGTCGCCGAAATGGTACTGGATGGCGCATGAATCCTCGGGCTTGCAGCTTAGCGACGCCCAGTCGTACACGCATGTGCTGTCGTCCACTGCACTGCCTGCAGTCGACTCCGAGCCGTTGTGGCGGTGGAAAAGGCTCTTGACCTTGTCAAAGATGCCAGCCGCCTCCGCGGAAGTCACGGTGAACAAAGCACTCGCGATCACAGCAGCTCGCAGTACCGAAAGCGCGTGCATAGTGAAGTGCTACCGGTATGCAAGTGTCACCAACGCTGCAAAAACTCGAATGGTTCGTAGTTATCAGGAACATCACGAGCCGTAGGAAGTAAGAATCGGTCGTCGTAGTCGCCACCGTCTGAAGATATTGAGCAGCAATTCCTAAGCGCCGAGCGCCCCGCCTCAGGGAAACTTTGGCAAACAGCAGTCGAAATCGATGTGGCAATACGACTCAAGAACACCAGCGGCATACACTGAGTCAATCCAGGTACAGTAGCAGATGCTCAATTCGAACAGCGCAATGTCCGGACATACAATTTGACGTTGGACACGACGATGTTCATTAACTTCGCTTGAGGTGCGGCCAAAAACATTGAAAATCCGAATCCCGCAGCTCTTGAGCTGAGTCGGTTGATCATTGATGAGCACTCGTACCTCAAGGGGGCCACTCGGATCGAAAGGAAGCAAGTTTTGAACGGCCGACCGCATCTGAGCCATGCTTAGCCTTGCTCACGACGGGGTCATGGGTGTCGGGTATTGAAAGCCGATCGATGACGTTTGCCAAACTCGAGCGCGCTGGTTTACCTAATTGCTTTGCTTTGCTTCGGTACTTCTTTCGTTTTGGTATGCGTGGGAATGTGCTCTTTTCTTTCTCAATGTGATGAAGCACTAAAACCAGTTCGAGCGTTTTCATGAGCTTGAGAAGTACAAGAATAGGTGGGGGACCTGACAATGACGTTGCTGAGTTTAGTGCTCCTCCAACGCAAGACGCCTTCGTACAGGTCTCGCTGTCTGCAAACCATTGCAATCCATGCAATACCAGACTAACTATCCGTACGCGACGACCTCGCAGCAATATGGAGCGATCTCCCAGTTGCGGGAGGAGCAGCGACGCCGACAGCAAGAGTACTCGCAAGCCTTGGCCCAGCAAGTAGCTCAACGCGAGCAGCAGAAACGTCGAGAGCGAGAGATGGATCAGCAGTATGGGAGACGGTACGGCAGCTTCCACAATCCCCCTCATCCACAGCAAGGCTTCGGGCAGCCTCGCAAGGACAGCTTCAAGCCTTCCAATAGAGGAGGAATGCTCGACGGATTGGGCCGCAACAACCACCAAAGCTCCCGAACAAGCTTCGCACACGGACAGCAACAGCAATCGCAGCAGCAGCTCCATCATCGCCTACCTGGTGGTCCAGAGCTCTACCCTCCACAAGCTCGAGCACCTTACGGGGGTCAGACAAATTTCCATCCTGCAAATCAACCTAATGTCGGGAATCAAAGCGTTCCAGGCGACTTTGGGATTCTGGGGAACGCGAATCCCCACCAACCAATGCAACAAGAACCTTGGCCTCAACAACAACCAGCTTCCCACTCAGGAATGCCGGGTTTTGTGCCCGGGCCGCACGTTCAGACACGTTGGCCCGAGCCAAATCCGCAGTCGAATGCAATGACCCAAGCTAGAAGCAGTCAGTTTTGGCCGGGCCAAGACCTGGCCGAGCCAATTCCGCCATCAAACGGAGGGTTTTCTTCACTTCAGCAGAGCTCCCAGCGAGAATATGCCCAGCCTGAGCCACCAGGTAATTTAAATGTTCACAACGGTGGGCGTCGCCAGCGAACTGACATCCATGATGGCGGCCGAGGTGACTCGGAGGAAGCAGAACGACTTCGACGAAAGCTTCAACAACAGCAGGAGATGCAGCTAGCGCTAGAACGGCAAATTGAGGAGAAGCGGCAACAGAAGCTGGAGGCCAAACGACGGCAGGAAGAGGAAGATCGACGCGAAATGAAGCGGTTCGAGGAGGACCAACGCCGACAACGTGCTGAACAAGAGCGACTTCAAGAGGAGAAACGACGCAAGGCCGCACTTGAACAAGAGAAAGCGGAGCTAGCGGCCGCGGCCGTCGCGGCGGCCAACCAACAAGCCAAACTCCAGCAGCAGCAAAAGTTACATGCCCAAGCTAACCAAGCTCAGCCTCCACACCATCAGCCTCCGCAGCACGCTCAATCTTTCCACCAACTGCCAATTCATCCCCAGCCTCCGCTACAACAGCCTGATCATTATACTAACGCTCCATCGCCCAGCAGATTGAGGAAGAACCCGTTCACCAACTCTCGGGCACATTTGTTTGAGGACCCGCCGCCGCAGCCATCGCCTCAGCGTGGCTTAATGATGCCAAACGGCCACTACGGCCACTCCAATCAGAACGCGTCACCTGTCCGAGGAGGCCACCAGGGCTTCAACCCGATTTACCCGCAAGAGTCCCAGCCTGTTGGCCGGTCGATGGACCCCTTGGAGCTGCGTCGGCAGTACGACGACATGCGAGAAGAGCTGATAAGACAGAAGCAACTCGTAGATCAGCTTCGTCAAGCGCAGGCGCAAATTCAGCAGCAACAGCAGCAGCTCTCTCCTGTTCGTGCTGTAAACGGGAATTTGCCCACACTCATGGACTTGGAAAAACTTCGGAATGAACTGCGGGGCGAGCTCAAATACCGCGAGCAACTTCACCGGCAGGAACTGGAATCACTGAAGCGTGAGCAGCAGCAAGAACGAGGGCCCGAACACTCGCCTAATCGTTATCCAGATGTGAGAAACTCACTTCAACCTGCATCCGACAAACTGCAACAGCGACTCACGCCGCTGCCTGAAAAAGTCGATAATAACGCGCCGTCGACGAATACCCAAAGACAACAGCAGCATCGACGATCTCCCGTGAAAAAGCTTCTAACCTCGCAGACTGGAGTTCACCCAATTGGCGATAGTTTGAAGTCATTGCGAGGTGAAAGCGAGCTCGTGTACTTTGACGGCCGCGTGACTGGAGCTGGTAAAACTGGGAAGGATGATGTGGTGGCAAGCCGGAATCACGGCGGAGATTACGGCAATTCTCTGGATCAACAAAGTGAGTCAATCAAAGTCGAAGACTCTCGAGTTGCAGAGGTAGCTCGAAGCAGTCTTCGCAAGTCAGCAACCAAGAAACATAGCGTTAAGCTATCGGTAGCTGCCAGTGCGTCATCAGCGTCCGATCAAGCTAGAAACCCCGCACTGGACGAATTCGACAGTGAAGACGAGTCACAAGGGTTTGTCATTCAGTCTTCTCCGGTCCGCGGCAACCGAAGCCAGCAGTTGGCCCCGTCACCAACGACTCACGCGCGCAGGACAGCGGCAAGTAGCCACCGATACTCTCAGTTGCCGCCGGCTTTGAGCTCGTCTTCGCCCTCTAAGCAATTTGGCAAGTGGCGGCTTGAGTCTGTGGGGACCAACGATGCCAGCGACAGTGACGATGAGCTGGACGCCAGCCTCGACGGTGAGCAGCTCGAAGCCCTCTTCCAGCGGAACGTGCGGCGTCACGAGATTCTTCTGGGCTTCCAGACCAGAGTCCAAGCACAGACAAAGGCCTCAAACCAACACGAAGAAGACGGTAAAGTTCCCCAGGCCAAATCAGCGTGGACAGATCTGCATCAACAGCTTGAGGACAACCGACGAGCGTCGATTCCTCGGAAACTCAGCGCCACTAGCACCAGCTCGAATGACTCGACACACAACCAAACTGTTGATGCAGAGGACGAAGCCGCCCTGATAGCGTCTTCAAAGTGGATGCCGTCTTCTCTCCTCTTACCAACGGAACAAACAACGCGGAGTGTATCAGCTAGAAAAACAAATAATTGATTGACACCCAAGCCGCCAGGCCGCTCTAGTCGTCTATCATCCCTCGAGCAGGAGTGATTCGCTCTCACTCCCGCAGTTCACGCACAATCTCCTGGCTTACACAAAACTTAGCTTAGCCTACCACCAGTGGAAGAAGGACAGCCACGAGCCCTGATTGTTGCCGCTGCCCTGGCTGTTGTGCGTCCACTGGTTGGTCGAAGGAGTAGCCATGGTCGCGGCTGGCGCAGTAGTAGCCCACGTGTTGGTGGTGGTGGCCTCCGTGGCGACAGGGGCCTCAGTAGCAGCGGGGGCCTCCGTCACAGGCGCCACCGTAGCGGCATTGTTGCTGCCAGCGGTGGAAGCGGCCGTGGACGCAGCTGAGGCCGAGCCGGGCTGGCTCGAGAACGCAGTCGAGCCCGAGCTCGAGGCCACGTTGGAGGCCAAAGTGGAAGATTCAGCCGAGCCGGCAGCCGTCGAGCCGGAGGACGAGCCCTCGCAAGCCACCGACTTCTGCAGCAGCAGGCTCACGTCGGCGTAGCTCAGACCGATGCTAGTCACGGTGTCCGCGGCGGGCTTGGCCTTGGGGAACCAGATGAAGTCCGGGTGGTCGTCGTCCGAGTCGTAGACCCACTCACCGCCGATGATGTTTCCGTCGTCATCCATCTCCAGGATGTAGTAGTAGTAGGCGCCGGTCGTGTACGAGTCCACCTTGCCGGTCGACACGAGCGCGCCGTCCGTGTAGGTCTCGAAGATCCACGACAGACGCGTCTTGACGTACACGATGCTCTTGGCGGCCGAGTTCCACGGGTACTCCTCCAGTCCGTAGAAGGTGCTCGCGGCCTCCTCCAGCGTCATGTTGGTCTGCTCGTACACCTTGAAACCACGCACGGGCTGGTTCCACACCTCCGAGCCGGCGGTGACATCGGCGATGAACGTGGCGTTGAGCTTGCCCAGCAGATTGGTAGCCGCGATGTGGAAGTAGGCGGGGTTCAGGTCGCGGTACGAGTCGCTCGAATGACGGCCGTACTCGTCGGTCGAGTCGGTGCCGCCGTTGTAACGCGTGCCGGTGAACACCGTTGAGACGGTGGCGCCGTCGTACACGTCCGACAGCAGAGCCTTGATGTCCAGCGGCTGGAACGTCACGCCGTTGTACGTCACCGCGCAGCGCGGCTCCTCCTCAAGCATGGAAGCAGGCGTCCAGGCGTGGCAGATGCCGTACCAGGTCGGGATGCAGTAGCCCGAGCTCTTGCCGGTGCGGATGGCGCACGAGCTGCCGTCCGTGAGCGAGGAGCAGTCGCTATCCAAGGAGCAGACCGTGTGGCTGCTCATCGAGTCGATGCCGTTGTCCTTGGACACCTTGTCCATGAAGTCCGTCACGTCCAGACCGAAGGCCGTCGCGTACTTCTCGGCGGCACTTGGCTCACCGGGGCTCCAGATCACGTTGATGCTGTCCTGGTACGTGGGCCAGTACGGGCCCGGCCAGGAGGAAGGCGTGTGCACGCCCACAGTGGGCAGGCTGGCCAGGTTCACCTCCATGGACGTGCCGAAGTAGGCCTCGAGCTTGGCGATGTCCTTGTTGCCGGTGGCCTCGAGTCGGCGCTTCTTCTCCAGCTTCTCCTGCAGTCTGCGGCCGGACATGGGCGAGTGGCGCAGCTTGCGGCTGCTCTGGTCCTCCCAGCCCGTGGCGCAGTCCTTGGGCGTCGACGCCGAGGTGCCTTCGACGTCCGTGGATGTGGTGGCCGGCGCAGAGGTCACGCCGGACTTGGTGGGCGAAGCCGTGGCAGTGATCACGCCGGTCTTGGACGGGGAAACAGTGGCCGTGGCAGTGGTGGTGGAGGGCTCTTCGTACGAAGATCCAGCCACGCTGGTCTCCGTTGCGGTCGGGGCCGTGGTGACACCAGTCTTGGACGGCGAAACAGTGGCCGTAGTGATGCCGGTCTTGGACGGGGAGACGGTGGCCGTCGTGTCTTCATCCGAAGAGGCATCGACGCCGCTGGAGGTCGTTTCCGGAGCGGAGGTGACCCAAGTCTTAGACGGCGATACCGTAGTGGAGGTCTCTTCGTACGACGAGCCACCAACGCTGCTCGACGCAGTCTCTTCGTACGCCGAGCCACCAGCGCTACTTGAGGCGGGGGTGTCCTCTTCCGAGGACCCGCCGACACTACTCGACGTCGTGGCCGGAGCCGTAGTGGCCGGGGCATTGGTGGCCGATTCCTTGCCCGACTTGGTCGTGGTAGACGTCGTGGTGGACGTCGAAGTGGACGTTTGCGAGACAGTCGTGCCGGTCTTGGTGGACGTCTTGGTGCCACCAGCAGATGAGGTGGTGGACGTTTGCGAGACAGTCGTGCCGGTCTTGGTGGACGTCGAGGTTGAAGTGGACGTAGTGGTCGTCGTCGTGTACGCGTCCTGGTTGGCGCTACTGGCCGGCGTGTCCACCGAGTAGATGACGGTGCCTACCTTGGTGGAGACAGACTCGGTGGGGGCCGTGCTCGTGTTGGCCAGCAGGTCCGTGTACGTGACCGTCACCGTCGAGATGGTGGCGATGTCGGGCAGCGTCGGGTCCACCTCGACCGTGATGGCGCAGTCCTTGTCGGACACCTCGGCGCCGCGGGCCGGGAACTTGCTGCTGATCTCGTCCGTGGTGTCGGCCGACGTGAACGGGTCGTAGAAGAGCGAGGTGCCCGAGGCCTGCTGCATCTGCAGCGCCACGAGGGCCACGGCCGCCGGGATGAGGTAGCTGCGCGGCGTGTACACCATGGTGCCGGTCCGAAGCAGAGCAAGAAAGAAGAAGCTAGCTGAACGACTCCTCGACCTGGAGCGACAGAAGTTCGGCGGAGTAATTTCCTCGCCGGCGAGAAAATTGGGGAATGCCTCTGGCCTCCATCCCTGCGAGCCGCGCGGAACGTAGGGTGCCCGCCAGAGCAGCTCTGATCCTGCGCGTGAGACCGGCCAGTCTCGGCAGTCGGTCAAGCGCGGCGATAGAGTCGGGCGTTGCGCCGTTGGACGCCCCCCGCCAGCTGCCGCCACATGGGATAATGTGCACACCAGGAGGCCGGAGCACCAAGCCACACAGCTGTGCGGCTCGCCTTTGCCGCTCCATTCCGACTCGCGTCAGCTCTCGGTCATGGCGCGCGGCCTGTTTAATGAGGTGGTGGCGCGCGTGGAAGGCATCGAAGGCGCCTGGAACGCGGGGTGCGTGTATCATGGCGAGCCGCAGCGGCCACGCCACGACGAGGGAGGTCTTTGTCACCGCCGATCAAGGATGCTGTCGGCATCGGGAAGTGTGGCGTGACAGCGGTGGAAAGACTTGGGTGGCCCTGGAGCAGCTCTGTGAGCCACACCTTCTACGAGCCCTGGGGAGAGCCGGGCTCCTGGGCTCTTAAGTCTATGTAAAATTGACTAATCAGATATTACTATGAAGAGCCCGTCACAGATTTGAAGCTAAATTTGGGGAGGGGGAGCCAATGGGGAGCCCGAACCAGGGCTCCTTGATCTCGTACTTACCATGAGGGAGCCCATTTTGTGCGACTTTTGGCTCTCGTTTTAGCTTTTGAAGTAAGGTGTGCTGTGAGCTGTCCGAAGGACACGTAGGTAAAGGCGACCGTTATCTTTGACGGGCGTTGAACTAGCCGGTTCCCGTTAAAGTTAATGGAGTCAGCGCCTGCACTTGGCTTTTGAGTGATGAACTTAGTCGGGAGGTCGGTGGATTTTCCTATCGTTGCATTGTGGTCCGATCTTGTCGCTATTGTGCTCTACGGTATTAGAGAGCTCGCGAACACTATGTGTGTGTTGCTCTGCTGGGCGCAGTTGATCTTAATGAAGGTGCTTGCTTGCATTAGACGACCGATCCTTTGGGCTCCAGCGGCTGCATGCCTCGGTGTTCACTCGGAAGAGAGCGCGGAGGCGCAATGCCGCGCAATCCGGTCTTGAAGCGATCACCATGCTGAATCACGGCGGGTCGAGCTGCAGCTGGTCAACATGACGCTGGCTTTTGGTGGTGGCTGCCGGTGCTGCTAACACAATGTTGTCGAGAACTCGGCATAACCCACCAGGGACTCACTGACTCAGGGAGAGTCTTGATGCAGATCAAAACGTGCTTGGTTGCATCAATCGATGTTAACCTCTGGCCCGGAGCGTAGAGGCGCCGCCGGGTAATCAACCACATTGATCTGTGGATACTGTACAGTTCAAACCGATCGAGTTATGCGGAAGTTATGCCGTCATTTCCAGGGCTTGGTCGGTCAGTTGAGACTGCTGTAGTGATCATTCAGACTGAGCTATAGAGGCAAGGATGCAATTATTCAAAGGGCTTGAACAACCACGGACGTAGGTGTCGCTCGCGAATTCTTACTTAAGCATTTTAGCTAGGGAGGTGAACACTGTAGTGTGCATGTAGCTGCGGCTTTGATTGACGGTGAAACAGAGCTGTGAGCTCAGTCGCTTTATCGTACCAACATGCGTGCACGTGATTCTCTCTCACTTTTCTTTTTGAGTTCGTGCTCCGTTGATTGACGAGCTCGCCGGCACGAAAGGCTGGCACGGCTTACCACCAGTGGAAGAACGACTGGTACCATCTCTGGTTCGGGTGCTCGTGCTGCTGCTCCTCTTGTTGTTGTTGTTGTTGCTGCTGCTGCTGTTGCTGCTGCTGGTTGTCATCGTCCTGTTGGTGCTGGTATCCACCCTTGCCGCCGTGGTTTCCACCCTGGTTGCCGTGGTTTCCACCCTGGTTGTTCGAAGGAGCAGCGGTGGTCGAGGCGGGGGCGGCGGTGGTCGACGCAGGAGCGGCCGGGGTAGCGACCGGCGCCGTCGTCGACGGGCCACTGCTCGTGGTGGTAGCAGCCGGGGTCTCCGTAGCGGGATCCTCGGTGGCGGGGGTCTCCGTGGCGGCGCTGCCCGTGCTAGAAGCAGTCGAGCTGGTAATCGGCACCTCCGTAGCCGATCCCGTCGAGGCGGAAGCAGAGCTCGTCGCGGATCCCGACGTAGAGGCAGCAGTCGAGGCAGACGCCGAAGCGGAAGTGCCAGCCGAGCCCGAAGCAGAGTCCGAAGCAGAGCACGCCACTGACTTCTCCAGAAGCATGCTCACGTCGGCGTAGCTCAGACCAATGCTGGTCACGGTATCCGCAGCGGGCTTGCCCTTGCCGAACCAGAGGAAATCGGGGTGGTCGTCGTCCGAGCCGTAGACCCACTCGCCGCCGATTATGTTTCCATCGTCATCCATCTCCAGCAGGTAGTAGTAGTACTGGCCGGTGGTGAACTTGTCAATTTGTCCCGAGGACACCAGGCCACCGTCAGTGTACGTCTCGACGATCCAGGACAGACGCGTCTTGACGTACACAATGCTCTTGGCAGCGGCGTTCCACGGGTACTCCTCAAGCCCATAGAAGGTCTGGGCAGCCTCCTCGAGCGACATGGCGGTCTGCTCGTACACCTTGAAACCACGCACGGGCTGGTTCCACACCTGGGAGTCGGCCGTCACGTCCGCGACGAAAGTGGTGTTGAGCTTGCCAAGAATGTTGGCCGCGGCGATGTGGAAGTAGGCCGGGTTCAGGTCGCGGTAGGCCGCGCTCGAGTGACGGCCGTACTCGTCGGTCGAGTCGGTGCCGCCGTTGAAGCGGGTGCCCGTGAACACGGTGCCGACATTGGCGCCGTCGTACACGTCCGAGATGAGGGCCTTGATGTCCAGCGGCTGGAACGTCACGCCGTTGTGCGTCACCGGGCAGATCGGCTCCTCCTCGAGGATGGCGGCCGGAGCCCAGGCGTGGCAGATTCCGAACCAAGTCGGGATGCAGTAGCCCGAGCTCTTGCCAGCACGAATGGCGCAGGCGCTGCCGTCGGTGAGGGTCGAACAGTCACTGTCCGATGAGCACTGCTTGCGCTTGCTCTGCGAGTCGACACCGTTGTCCTTGGACACCTTGTCCATGAACTCCGTCGGGTCCAGACCGAAGGCCGTCGCGTACTTTTCAGCCGGACTGGGCTGGTTCTCGCTCCAGACAATGTTGATGCTGTCCTGGTACGTGGGCCAGTACGGGCCGGCCCACGGCGAAGGCGTGTGCACGCCGACGGTAGGCAGCTTGGCCAGGTTCATCTCCATTTTGGTGCCGAAGTAGGCCTCGAGCTTGGTGATGTCCTTGTTGGGGGTGGCCTCAAGACGACGCTTGTTTTCGACCTCGCGGCCGGAGACAGCGCTGTCGCGCAGCTTGCGGGCGGGAGTGCTTTCCTCCCAGCCAGTGGCGCAGTCCTTGGGCTCCTTCTTGCCGGCACCCGCCAACGGCGAATCGATGCCCACCTTGGTGGCAGGCGTCGTCACTGGCGTCGACGGCGTGGTCTTACCGACGTAGGCATCCTGGTCGGCGGTGGAGGCCGGGGACTGCTCCGACAGCACAACCGTGCCCACTTTCGAAGAAATGGGCTCGGCCGGGGCCGTGGTCAGGTTGGCCAGCAGATCCGGGAACTCCACCGGCACCGGCGAGATGGTGTTGATGTCCGGCAGCGTCGGGTCCACCTGCACCGTGATGGCGCAGTCCTGGTCGGCCACATCGGCACCGCGAGCCGGGAACTTGCTGCTGATCTTGTCAACCGTGTCGGCCGACGTGAACGGGTCGTAGTAGAGCGACGTGGCGGCAGCCTGCTGCATCTGCAGCGCCACGACGGCGACAGCAGCGGAGACAAGATAGGTGCTGGGCGAGTAGACCATCCTTGCACAGGCGAGTCGATCCAGAGATCCGGAGGGGATAGCGCGTCAATCCCTGGCACGGGAGGAAGGGCTGTGTAATCTTCTCGACGCCGAGAAAATTGGGGAATGGCGGTGATCGGGCAGCCGGATGGCCTGCCACCTTGGTGGCCCCAGGGGAGTTCGCGCAACGTGCGATGTGTAGCAAAGGCAAGCACGAGCTTGGTGCTACAGTAGAGTGCACACACGCGACAGCGTTGGTCTCCGGAAAGGCTAGGTTGGCCCCCCACGCGAATGCAGTGAGTGATGCGAGGCTACTGCTCTTCGTCTTCTGTCCGCACGACACTCCAGCATAACACGTCTCTCGCCGTAAGCTTAAAAGTTAATATGCCCGAGGATCCTTTCGTCCGGCGCAGAGAGGGCTCGCTGTCATTGGTAACGTCCGATCGTCGCGCTCCATGAGCTCCATGATCTTCGTTTTGCAGGCTCTCTGCATCCCAGCCGGCGAAGGCTTGATGTTTTCGGTGTCGGCCTTGAATTTTTGTCCGCCGTAAGTTCAAGCGCGTGCAGCTCCTCCTCCTTCTCCTTTTTCTCGAGCGCACACGCGATGTAAAGGCCTCCGACTGGAGTTATCAAAATCCGACGTTGTTCTCGATGCAGAATGCCTTCTCGACACATAAAGAAAGCTTTAGCGAGAAGCATCTCCACGCTACTCGGTATTGGATACTTACTTTTTGTTGTGACTGATAGACGTCTGCATACTGACCGGCTACAAACGATTGGCAAGCACTTCGTTACGCCGCGAGGGACCGCTGAACTTCATGCCTTCGTGTCACGGCGTCCGTGAGGAGGTCCAGACTTGCGTGTGTACGAAGATCACAAGGCAGATCGACGATCAACGTTCGCGACGTTTTTCTTGTCAAGCGTAGGGCAGCCTTTGGGTCAGCTCTTCTGTCAGACAGCAAAACGAAAAACCGGCAATCACGGAGGCCGATGTTGTCGCCGTAAGCGGTGCTGTACCTCCGCAGTGAGGACTGGCTCACAGCGTTGGGTTGCCGTTCAGGTAAATGCAACTGCATTTACTTACCTCGTTGCAGCCCGGTCGGACATGCCCTGCAGGGCATTGTAGAGATGAAGGAGGACTCAATGAGCCGCGACCGAATGATGCGGCTACAGAACGCATCCTATCAGATTAACGGGGCTATCCAATAATTTTAATAAATTGAATCCGCGGAGCAAGCTTCGGAAAGACACACAACGATCCTCGGCTTTTGAAGCAACTCAGACATCACTTGTGCGCGCGCACCCACCGCACCGCACCCAGCTCTCAATACGAATCTTTGTCCTTCATACACCCAGCAAGCTGTATTCGGGGCTTGGCGCTGGCTCCCAGCGTGCTTGAAGGCCCTGGACGATCGTCGGGTTGGAGCGGGCATGTGCTGCAACTTCGGAGATAGACGGGTTTAGCGGACACCGAGGCCCATTTTTCCGACGTCGGGTACCATGTACAGTACCAGTACCACTGCGTCTCGAAGAGGCCATTGATTCCAGCAATAAGTAATCTTGATAACATCGTGGACAACCCTTCCCAAATTAAACATGTATTTGTATTTTTTTAAATATTACATTTGCTCGCCGCAACTACAAATGCAACGTATTACATGGTGTGTAAAAGCCAACGTACAGCGTACCGTAAGCCAGAAACCTGACCCCTGTTGTCGCTGCCTGTCCTACTTGGACTTGGACTCCAAGCTCCGTTGGCCCACCACGCGTCCTAGCCATCTGTGCGCAGATCTTGCAAAGTTCTTGACAAGCCAGCCCGAGAGATGCGTTTTGATACATTTTAATAAACAAGAACACGTGCAACCTATCCGATAGCGGCTGTACATCTATACGATCCAAAGACACCAGGATACTTATCGCCGGTTCCATATGTAGAGCTGACTCGACGGTTCATGGCAGGCATGCGAATTGAGCTGCACAAACTGCAGAGCAGGTCATTGTCGAATTCTCTCCCTTGAGAAGATTACATTGTATTCTTCGTTGCTCCAGCTCTAGCTCAACTATTGACGACAACCTAGACGTAAACCATGGTCTACTCGCCCAGCACCTACCTTGTCTCCGCCGCCGTCGCCGTCGTGGCGCTGCAGATGCAGCACACGGCTGCCACATCGATCTACTACGACCCTTACACGTCGTCCGACACGATCGACGAGATCACCGACAAGTTCCCTGCTTTCGGCGCTGATGTGGCCGACCAGGACTGCGCCGTCACGGTGCAGGTGGACCCAACGCTGCCGGACATTACCACCATCTCGACTGTGCCCGTGACCTTCCCGGACCTGCTGGGCAACACGAGCACGGCCCCGACCGAGCCGGTGTTCACCAAGGTGGGCACGGTTGTGATGTCCGAGGACGCTCCGCCCGCTGACGCCAACCAGGATGGCTACATTGATTCGCACATGCCGGCAACTGGAGCGGCGCAGGAGAAAACGGGCATCAAGCAGCACCCCAAGGACTGCGCCACCGGCTGGGAGGAGACCACCCCCGCCGCCCGCAAGCTGCGTGACACTGCCGTCGCTGGCCACGCTCTCGACGAAAAGCTGCAGACTAAGCGTCACCTCGAGGCCAACACCAACAGGGACATCGCCAAGCTTGAGGCCTTTTTCGGCAAAAAGATGGTGATGACCCTTAAGGACCTCCCGATCGTGGGCGTGCACACGCCGTCGCCCTGGCCCGCTCCCTACTGGCCCACGTACCAGGACAGCATCAACGTTGTCTGGGAGGAGAACCAGCCGAGTCCTGCCGAGAAGTACGCCAAGGCCTTCGGTAAGGACGTGAAGACCTTCATGGACGCCGTGTCGAAGAAAAACGGCGTTGACTCGCAGAGCAAGCGCAAGCAGTGCACTGAGGACCGCGACTGCAAGATCGCCTCGGGCGAGGCCTGTGCTATTCGTGACGGCAAGACTTCGGGCTACTGCATCCCGACTTGGTTCGGTATTTGCCACGCCTGGGCCCCGGCCGCCATCCTGGAGCCCGAACCGAACTGCCCCGTGAAGCACAACGGTGTGACTTTCCAGCCCCTGGACATCAAGGCCCTGATCACGAGTGTGTGGGATGGTGCCAGTGTCGGCACCGTGTTCACGGGTGCGCGTTTCAACGGTGGCACTGACACTACGGACGAGTACGGCCGTCACTCGAACGCGGCCTTCCGTGACCTGAACCCCGCGTACTTCCACATCGCCGCGACCAACCTGCTTGGTAAGCTCAACTCGACCTTCGTTGTGGATGTGTCGGCCAACGCTGAGGTGTGGAACCAGCCCGTGCGTGGTTTCAAGGTGTTTGAGCAGACCGCCATGTCGCTCGAGGAGGGTGCTAAGACCTTCTACGGCCTCGAGTCGTACCCTTGGAACGCTGCTGCCAAGAGCCTCGTGTATGTCAAGATGCGTCTTTCGTGGATCGTCGAGACGTACACCGACGGCGGGCTTGTGCGCTCGGGCGAGGTCAACCAGTTCACCACAGGCAAGTACTACCACTACCTGCTGGAGCTTGACGACGCTGGCCAGATCATCGGCGGCGAGTGGGTCTACAACTCGGACGACGACCACCCCGATTTCCTGTGGCTGCCGAAGGGCAAGCCCGCTGCCACCGCTGTGACCAGCATTGGTCTGAGCTACGCCGACGTGAGCATGCTGCGGGAGAAGTCGGTTGCATGCGCTCCTGAATCGGGCTCGGATTCGTCTGGACCGACCGGCTCGTCGTCGTCCGAGGCTGAAGTGTCCGCAGGCGACGCTGCGATGTAAATACTCCCCCTCCCCACCGCATCGTGTGTGAACGTGCAGTGACGCTGCAAGTCTGCTTCTTTTCTTAGACGCCCCTCATGCTAATAGAAGTCGTGTCAAATTAATTGATCTAACGTTTTATCGCTTCAACTTTGTTTTAGCAAAGCTATCACGGCACTGGAGCTCTACCAAAACCCACACAAACTCGATATTTGCTACGGTCATAAACATGGCGTATTTCTCGTAGCAAATCCGTCGTAATTTGTGGAGACGAATTTGACGTCTCCACAATTTGCGTCGAGCGCAAATGAAGCGTACCATTATTTTGGTTCAATTCCCAATCACCACTCATGCTGAGCGTTCACGGCCGCGCTCTCAAGCTCTGCGTCAGCGCTTGTCGGAACTCGCCAGTGATCTTGGGAGTGTGCGTGCATGAAGTGGTGGGCATCCAGGCGGAGATTGCGGAGAACGAGACGTTGCAGCAGGAGAACAGGTAGGACTGACCGAACAGCAGCAAGAACTACATAGTGAACATGGCCAAGTGGCCTTATAGCAAACAAATACATCAGTCTTCAATCTTCCTCGCCGAGCTCACTTCCACCTGCCAACAGCGCTCCCAAGCCGTGGACAGCAGAGCCAGCGGAAGAGGCTGAGTGTTTACTACCACCCAAGTTGATCACCTTACGCATTGTTTGTTACTGACGATAAGTGAGTGTAGCCATGTATTTAGCACTCAAATGTGATGGTTTTGGTCGGTATCATCGGTTGTAGCAAACACGACGCAAACGAGGACATATTTGGCACATAAATTTGCGATTTGTGACAGCGTTTGTGTTAGTTTTGGAAGAGTTCCACTGAGTGACACTAATGCGAGTTTACTACGATGAATGATATCCTACATTCTGTAGTATCACCACCACACAGCATAGCTTGCACGTCATCGTCATCGAACGTGGCAGTCCAAGCAAGTCCCTAGAGGAGGGTCAGATCGTGTATTTGAGTTACGTATCACTGCAAAGGTGTCTGCTAGGGTCTCAATCAACCTTGATAACACAAAAGCTTTTACTGCACCTAAGTTAAGTTGTTGGTGAGGTACATTATTGCAGTCACTTAGGCAACCTAACGACTACTTCTCCGGTCCGGAAAAGAATTAACAGTTAGGTTTTTTCATAAAAACCTCAAATCATTTCGATGTATGATTAGTCAAAGTACCTCTATGTACCACACTTCATTGGACAAAACTCTAACATCAGTGATTTGTATGTAAAAATCCTCAAACACGATTGGCTGTTTTTCTTACCTTGGAATATTCAACTGTTTACGACATTATATGACAGGAATAAACTCTCTTTCCGCTTTCTCATGTGTATTTCCAAGTTCTAATCTGATCATTTTTGATGGCGCAGCGAATTTAAACCTCACACCTGTGGAAACTGATTGTTTAAACGGCCCGATAACTACCTGAAAGGGCGGGAAAACGGATTTATCAAAAATACTACGTGATACACCAGATCCAGAGCTTAAATTTAAGGGCAGCTACAGCTCTGTTGGAGCAGTAGAACGCAATTTATAGTCTGATTAGAGAACTGTTAATTCTTTAGCGGACCGGAGAAGTAAGATTTTACTGCACCTAGTAAATATGTTTGAAACCAACTTGCCTTGCAGCATGATAACGAAAGAAAAAGAGACGGGTTCGAATATTCATTGTTATTGATCGACCCTATTAGTCGGAGCCGATACTTCACTACGCAAGAGAAAAATACCTTCTTTGGAGATCACATGTCACGCACGCGACCATCACTTGAGGGATCGAAAACGTATTAGTAGGCAAGCTTAGCAATAGACAGGAACTACCGGCATGCTGGTTAGGAACAGTGATTGTGATCTGGATGACTGGACCACGCCAAGTGTGATACCGAAGCTAATATGTAGTGGATTTCAACGTAGTGAGTATGAATATTTTCAGCGAATAGTCCTGTCATATATAAAAATTGTACCAGTCCGGACTAAATATAGGACACAGCCGTGTCAGGTTTTCAAAAAATAATAGAGGCTTGAAGCCTGTATTGTTGTAGGCTGATGACGCATGCACTAATAAACGTCGAGATAAGCGTTGCCGACGGATTAATAACGAAATCTCCACGTTTTTTTATCTCTATAATACAAGGCACTGATGTGGTGGAACAAGTGTATAAGGCCAGAGTAAAAAAAAAAAAACCGCAGCCAAAACGCACAAGCAGATCCGACGAACGAACAGGAAACACCTCCACACCGTAAAGCAACCAGACAGGTGAGATGATTTTGCTGGGCCTGCACTGTAGATGCTCGAGCTTTCCACTCCCTCTGGAAGAATGACTTTGCTACTTTCGTGGCAGCATCAATATTTCAAGGATTCAAGTACCGCCTTGGATCTTTTCAAGGCGCACAAAGAGCATAACTGTATGCCTACAGTACCTAGACGGGATATGTAGAATTTGTACTGCAGCACTGAAATGGGTATCCAGAAGATTTCTTTAAAATTAATTAGAGTCTGTAGTTCACACTTTCGAACACAAATTGTGCTTAAAGCTCCATACCAAAACGCATAACAGTAAGTTACTGTCAGTAACCCTCGCTGTACTGAGATTTATTCTCCGGACATGTGCTCGCCCAAGTAAAGAATGGAACGCAAATGGAGACGCGAATTTTTTATGGTAGAATATCATCAAATCTCCGACCGCACTTAAGATGATAGGTATACAAATCCCCAGTCAAGCGCGGTCGGAGCATAACAGTATTACCCTACCCCTTCCCAAAGTGTTATGCATACACAGTCCAAGATAGATTAGTCGTCCCGTTTGCTCATTCGTCGGAGCCTTGGGATGGATGGCACGGAGCGAGCCCCCGCCTGCGGTTTGACAGTCCGTGTGCGTAGCACGCGGCTGCAAACCCAGGACCCAGCAGTGCTCTACCTAGCAAGCGGAGGCGACGCGTGCGAGCCTTTAGGGGTTTTAGGTTCGCGCGTAGCGCGTAGCTGGGTGATAGTTAAAGGTGACCCCACTCCTATCCGCATGTTTTGTGTACGAGTCGGAGAAAGTCGGAGGGTCGGAGGTTTTTGGGTATGGTCGTTTTAGGTAGAGAGAGGCCACACATCAAGAATTGCTGTTCGAACGGGACACATGTTACGCGGATTTTAATCCCAGATTTTACCTTTAATAAATTTGAATCAGAGTTGCGTGCAAGTACAGTAGCTACCGCACTCTTCGTGCCTCAGTAACGACGCGTAATGATGAAAATTTGCATTGGGATCAATGGCACGCCAGCCATGTCCTGTTACTCAGCCTGTCCGAGTCGACTGGAAGGCGCGGTGGAGGCCGCGAGTTCGTGGCCGCCGTTGCAAATCATAAACTGAGTTCGTTTCACCATCGTATGCTACGTGGAAACCGTGTAAAAATACGTTCAGCAGTGCTCACATACTTACTTCCCAATAACGGTGTGCGTACGCAGGTGGAGCAGTTCCAGATGTCCGCGGCATCACTGGGCCCGAAGCTGGGTCGTCAGTCGCAGCGGGCATGCACGTGGGAGGTCAAGGAAACCAGCACAACTCATTCTCCAATCTGCTCGTCCGCGAGAAGATTACCTTCGGTTGACCTCCGTCTCCGCTAACCCCGCCCCAGTCCACCATGGTCTACTCGCCCAGCACGTACCTCATCTCCGCCGTCGTGGCCGCCGTGGCGCTGCAGATGCAGCAGACGACCGCTACTTCGCTGTACTACACTCCGTTCACGGTGTCGGACACCACCGACGAGCTCACGGACAAGTTCCCTGCGTACGGCGCTGAAGTGGCTGACCAGGACTGTCTCGTCAAGGTCGAGGTGGACCCGACGCTGCCCAACATCACCACCATCCTGCCCGAGCCTTCGGAGTTCCCGGACCTGCTGGCCAACCTGACTACGGCCCCGGCCGAGCCCGTGTGCGACAAGGTCGGCACGAAGGAGTTCTCGGTGGAGGTTCCCGCCGTGGACGCCGACCAGGATGAGTACGTCGGCAAGCCGGCCCTGTCGACCCCGGTGATTGCCCCCACCAACAAGACCGGCATCGACCACAAGGACTGCGCCACCGGATGGGAAGACACCCAGACCGAGCGCAAGCTGCAGACCAAGCGCCAGCTTGAGGCCAACGCCAACCAGGACATCGCCAAGCTCGAGGCCTTCTTTGGCACCAAGATGGAGACGAAGCTGTCCAAGCTGCCCACCGTGGGTGTGCACACGCCGTCGCCGTGGGCTGGCCCGTACTGGCCCACGTACCAGGACAGCACTAACGTCGTTTGGAGCGAGGGCCAGCCGAGTGCTTCGGAGAAGTACGCGACTGCGTTCGGCAAGGACGTCAAGACGTTCATGGACGCCGTGTCCAAGAAGAACGGTGTTGACTCGCAGAGCGGCCGCAAGAAGTGCACGGCCGACAGTGACTGCACGGCCCTCGCCAACGGCAGCGGCTGCGCCATCCGTACCGGTGCTTCTTCCGGCTACTGCATTCCTATGTGGTTCGGCATCTGTCACGCCTGGGCCCCGGCTGCCATCCTCGAGGATGAACCCGACTGCCCTGTGACGTACAACGGTGTGACTTTCCAGCCCGTGGACATCAAGGGCCTTATCTCCCTAGTTTACGACGGTGCTCGCGTGCAGACTGTGTTCACTGGTGCGCGGTTCAACGGCGGTACCGACTCGACGGACGAGTACGGCCGCCACTCGAACAACGCCTTCCGCGACCTCAACCCGGCCTACTTCCACATCGCTGCGGCCAACATGCTCGGCAAGCTGAACTCGACGTTTGTGGTAGATGTCACGGCCGGCGCTGAGGTGTGGAACCAGCCCGTGCGCGGTTTCAAAGTGTACGAGCAGACGTCCATGTCGCCTAAGAAGGCCGCCCAGACCTTTTACGGTCTCCAGAAGTACCCGTGGAACGCAGCGGCCAAGAAGATCGTGTACGTCAAGTCCCGCCTTTCGTGGATCATTGAGACGTACACGGACGGTGGACTCGTGGCCTCGGGCGCGATCAACCAGTTCACGACGGGCAAGTACTACACCTACCTGCTTGAACTGGACTCCGCCGGTGAGATCATTGGTGGTGAGTGGGTGTACGACTCGGACGAGGACCACCCCGATTTCCTTTGGTTCGGTAAGGGCAAGCCTGCCGCGAACACGGTGACGAGCGTCGGCCTGAGCTACGCTGATGTGAGCATGCTGCTGAAGGCGTCCGCGACTTGCACTGCTGTAGTGTAATGCGTAGTGTTGACTGCCAACTTGTTGATCAGTTGACTTCGCTTCTGTTTAGCAACCGCTTGTAGCTAGGCTTTTTAAAGTACGCTTCAGTTTTTGAGGCTGACTTACCAATAAATGAAGACGACGTTCTGTATGTTGTAGAAGTGTAAAATGCAGTCAGTAATTTGGCTTGGAATTCTCTGGATTTTATCCAGAGTCCATGGGCGAACACTGAGGTGCCGTTATTCTCAAATCCAATACCGGCTAAAATGGTTGTGAGAGCTTGTGATAGTTGTAGCTAAAATACCTGTTATACCGGATAGCCTGCGATCTGATCAAATTATGCTGCTATGTTGACCCATCCAGTTTAGATTAGGACAAACAACCTATGATAATGAATACCTTTTAATCAGGTATACACCTGTGATATCTAGTTTATAGGGCACTCAAGCAATACTAGTCTGATTTTTTTTCCACTGGAACAACATGCCGACCGGATCCCGCCTCAACGCCGTTGAGTCAACGGTGATGATTGATGCCTCACACCACAACTTATTAGACGACGACGGTATCGACCACTGGCACCTACATGAGTAGCTACGGCCTGTGGCAAGAGCCATTATGTTCGGCATCATTAGTGAAGACCTCATCGTGCGCAGGCAGCTCCAGCACCGGAGCCGTGAGGTGATGCCGACTCTCGAGAACGCGTTCCAGTAAGTTGATGGAGCTCGGAACCCCCTTCAACTCGACGGGAATCGTCAAGAATCGCGGCTACATCTACGTCGACGAAATCGGCATCGTTAACCTCTCCTCTCCAATGCATATACATATATGCGCAGCTTCAACATTAGATTTTGCAGTCTCGTCGGGGTCGGCTAGCTTGCTACACTCCTCAAGTTCCCGTGTCTTATATTTTGAATCAGTTTCTTATTACTAATAGCGGCGCACCATTGCCCTTGAGTCGTACGGGTCACACTACCGAAGTATAACAAAATGATGTTTTGTACCTTCCTATTCAGTATCAAACGGTCTTAAATTGTGCACTTGATCGGTCGGCTGAAAGTATATATTCTATCACACTCAGCGATCTCCTTACTGCATGATCACCCTTAATGCGCGTTGCTCAGTTGATTGAATTCATATTGAGCAGGTTGTGTTTTATTATGGACGATGATATGGTTGACAAGAGAATCAGTAAGCGTTGGTTTGAGTGATATTTTAGTTTTTTTTTGCTACTGTCTGGTAGTTAAATAAGCTATGTATGGAGTAATATCCACTCTGTTCCAACCGCTACTCTTTTTGCAATCCCAAACCGCTCGTACTTGACGAGTTTCACCCAATAAATGCCTTAAGTCCGATGAATTTCGGCCAATCGGAAGCCTCTTTAAAGTAGGGCATTTTTCCAACCATTCCAACCATATTTGGTTGGAATTTTGTCAGAATATTCTCTGAAATTTATTTCAGAGTCTACCGGCGATACCACTTTCCGCGCTGTTTGAATATATTAGACTATAGCAAACGCCCTCTTTGCTTGAATGCTACATCTGCTGTACGGGTCACCCATTTCTCAAACTTCATAAATAGAGTTTTTTGTTAAAAAACACAGGCTTCGTAATTTAAAGGGTCTGATTGTCCGGACATTTTATAGATAAGACTACACAATACGCAGTTATCGATGCAGAGCAGTTTGTAAAACCCGTTATATCGTATACATCTTGCCGTTATGAATCATCCACGTGAATGTTGACCCTATCGGCGACGCGTCCATCTTCGCGCAACCCGCATCCGTAAGTAATTTATACGGTAATTTATGGCGTGGGTTTTTCTTGGGATAAATGCAACTTCCTATTTATCCCGTAGGGTCCGAGCCCTGAAAATTCCAGGCGCAAGCTCAACCCAAGGCCGAGGTCAACAAGGTCAACCGCGCGTGGGCTGCCCGGGCAGCGTTTCTCCTTCGTGTCCACCGTGGCGCCATCTCCACGCGCCGTATCGCGCGCGTCGGCCTGGCGAGAACATGGTGGTCGAGGAGATGCTCGCGTTCTGCGAAGGTCTGAGCAACCCAAAGCTGGGTGTTGGGGCCTATCATCGTAGCAGCTGCGAGGCTCATGTTCATGGCTCTCGCACGCAGATCAAAGGTGGGGTCACGCACTACGGCGCAGCCCGCTCGGTCAACTACGACTCCTGCTACGGGCTTTACCCAGAAAGGGGCGAGGAGTACGCGGACGGGTCCATCAAGAATATCCATCTCGTGGGCCACAGCGACGGCCAACATCCACACCCAAGAACACCTCGAGGCGATGTGCAAGAACCCCATCAATACTTACGTGGAGAACAATTGCGCCACGATGCTCAGTACCACGCTAGTGAATGACACTATCGTCACTGCCGCAGAGGCGACTACGACGGACAAACCCGAGGACTTAGTGCAGTATCACGAATCAGTAGTAAGTGAGTATAACTAGCTTTTGCTGTTCTGTTGCCCTCCTACACTATTCATCGTTGCTACTTCTCACGATGTAGCTTTCTAGCCATGCCAACGTCGCACTAGAAATTTCAGAGCTTCCTCGTGCTCAGCACGATTTTGTTTTTAATGCCATACAAATATCTATGTAAATGCATATCCCAAAAATATCCTTCTGTTTCCAACCTGAGTGGTCGGTACACAGTTTTTCGTTCAGAGTGAAAAGAGCAGGCAAGCTAGCATGTCGATCGCATCGCTTGCTCCTGCCAACAGCAAGAAGGCCAGGACGACGGCGATCAACTCGTTCACGACGTTCCTGGCCGCGGAGAGCATGACACTCGATGCCACACACCGCCTTATCGACGGGGATAAGACAGGTAAGGTATTGCGTATTATACTAGACAAGTATGCATATTCGTTAGCCACATCAGCCGAAAAGGTAAGAGCGACCAATACGTATCTAGCATACTATGGCAACGTCAAGAATTGGCTAGTAGATAAGTACCCACTGCAATGAGCTTTAGTTAGATCTCAGCTCCAAAACATTCTATCTGGGCTGGGTAAGTATTGTAGCAACCGAGAGGAGGTCGACGACGAGAAGAATGCACCCCCGTGCTCTAAACAAGACTTAGAAGCTATGGTGTCTCTACTGTACTCAACGGCTGCGACGGAGAGTGAATACCTCGACACGGCCCTAGTCGTGATGATGTGGTACCTTTACGGTCGAAGCTCGGACGCGGAAACAGTCGAGAAGAGCCAGCTATACATTTTGCCACCTTCAGCACTTCCATCATTCATTCGACTGAAGCCCGCGCAAGGTTGATCTGCTACTGTAACACATAGCAAAATACACTAACAAACTCAACAGTTAAAGCGACCCACCGCACACCAGGCTCGCTGATCAAGGGACAATACCACCGACATCACATGAATACATGAACAACATCATAATTTGGGTAAACCTCTTCGTGTATTTTCTTGCACTTGTTCATTACTACATTATAAACAACACTGCACAAAACATAACGTTAGAATAGGACATTCACAGTTATGACAGGGCATAGAGTGTTTACCTCGTGTCTTGCAGTCCTTGGCCGCCATCACCCTGCGCAAGACCAGCCAGCCGGCAGTGTCGCTGCAGCCACACTCACTGGTCCTGTTGTTGCTGCTGATGCTGGCCCCGCCGGCCATCACCCCGCGCGAGGCCAAGCCGCTGTCGCAGTCGCCGCCCTCGCCCGCATCACCGCCCTGCTCCTGGTGCTGCTGACCTCGAGCGCCATCACCCCGCCCGAGGTCGAGCGCTCGCCCACGTTGCCGCCCTCACCCTCGCCCGCGTCATCGTCCTGCTACTGATGCTGCTGGCCTCGAGCTCCATCACCCCGCCCGAGGCCGAGCACTTGTCCATCTCGCTGCCGACGCCCGTCTTGCTCTCGGTGCTGCTGGCCGGGGGCCCTCTCCACGCGCTCCGATGTGAACGAATGAATGAACAGGATTTAGTTAGGATGTCATTAAAATGAAATAGATTCATTATAATGATTTGCTGTAGTACCGGTACAGGTTGGACACCTTGGTCGGACAGTTGGAATTTTGACGGTATGGGCTCTCGTGAAGAACAGACCCGCTTTTTAGGTGTTCTAAAATTAAGAAATCGTAAAATGATATGTCACGTATGTTGCGAACATGTCTGACATTATATGCGTGCTAAACATGGATACACAAACGATTAGCAACGTAATTGCATAGCCCCCATAATTCATTCGTACCGAGGTTTGATGAACCGTTTAATGATAGGAAGCAACGTGGTTTTGGTGCGCTTGTTGTACACGACCCGTCCAAACCAGCGCCCCGTGCCCCGCTCTACACCACCGAAGAGCCAGAACTCTTCGTAATGGCGACCTCGGTTGTACTTCCGCTTCTTTGACAGACTCGTTTCATCAATTTCGATGACCATGCCATCTCCACCGATCTAAACAACATAGAAAGCAATATGTAAAACAACATTATCGTAACCGTAAAGCAACATAGACTACTAAACTGTAAGCATACCTTAAACTCAGGTCGAAGCAGCTCTTTCGAGCATGTCGAGCGGCAGTACGCATAGTACTCATGTGCAGTACGTAGCGACGTACCCGCCAACTCAGCCGCTTGCTCTTGCGGGAGCTGCATGGCCCAGCCAAGGAGGGGGCGCACAGTACTGCACAACTGCAGCTTGCTCTCGTTAAAGAACGAGTTCGTGAGCAAGCCGCGGCTGGCCTCCTTGCCATCGGCATGCTGTGTGCGCCGGCAGCATCGCCAGCGCTTCCGCGTTGGCGCTCGGCGCATGAGGAGCTGACACTTGGGAATGTTGATTACATTGACTTAGAGGAGCTGGCACTTGGGGCAGCGCTTCTCCCTGTCGATTAGGCCCACCACCATGCACCACTCGACGCAGAGCGCCTCTTCGCTGGTTACTTTCAGCACCGTGTCCATTTCGAAGAGGCTCTCGTCGTCAAGGTGGTACTGGTAGGGGCTGGCGGTCGACATGGCTCGTAGAGTGGGAAGGGAGGCGAAGCGTGGCTGGGGGCTTGCGGAGGAGGCGGCTGCTTTGAGAATGAGACTGTGGGAGCCAGAGTGTGAGGCGAGCCGGTGGGGCGGCTTCGAAAAGCGGGATCAGCATGAACGTTGCATACAAAAAATAATATACTTGCGTTTTGGCGCGCCCCCGTTTTCGGCGCGAAAGCGGGCCTATACTTCCAAACTGGATGGATGGGACGCACATCTAGAAGTTCGTGTGAACTACATCACAAATGATCACAATGGTTGTCCGATTCTAAATTTAGATCTGGGTCTTCAGATTTAGGAAGCGGGCCTGTTCTTCACGAGAGCCTATGTATGTGCACCGGCTTTCTGAAAAACAAAATACTGTCATATACTAGCCTTAACGAAGCCCTAGTTCCGCGGTAGTATGTCCGGTAATGAACACCTCTAGCTCTGCGAATACTTGCTCGTTTCGCTTGTGGCTAAAGGGAGAGACTATGTTGTTCCTTCCTCCTATTATTCCCAATTGTACTTTTAAAAAATGTAAGAACTGAAGTATTTAAGTACTTCAAAATCCACTACCAGCCCAAACCTCTAGTAAATTCAAGACCGGCCACTATACGTAAATATCCGTTAATTCAACTAATAGCAGCAACCAATACTATGGGTGTGTTCCTCAGACAGGAATTTCAGCGGATTTAGGCCATTTTGGCGGATATGTACGTTTGGGCGGATTACACAATCCGCTGTTGCGTTTGGGGAACACAAGAGGCATCTTTTTGGCGGATATTCAGCGGATTTAATCCCCTCGAATTTGGGCGGATAGCCCTCTCGTTTGGCGGATTGACAAGAAGCATCTGTAAAAGTGCATATTTATCCTTCAGGCTGTTCGATTTTCTACTTGCTCTATGCCTACGCAGTACCTCTGAAGCAGGAGTCCTAAAGTAGTTTTAGCACAGCCATATTACACCGACCCTTCCACCCCTCCTTGCCAGTAGCATCAAGAAGTCGTGCCACATCTCCGAGGCGATATCGATCGCGCAGTTCTACCATCCCAACCTGGTCGGGGATATTTATCAAAACCCCAAACAAACAGGTCAGCATTTATCAAAACCCAATAACGATAAGGTGCATTCATTGGCTAAAACACTTCACTCAGGTCGTGCTGAGGCAGGCATCCTGTCTGTGGGTGCTTCGCCCTGTGAGTGCTGAAGTGTAGCGCCCTGTGTGTTGCGAGCGTTGCGTCCATCGAGTGCTGGTGAGCTGGACGGCTGCATAATTATCTTTGTAAGAGACATTCGAACCATGTAATTTAAGAGCTAATTATGATGTGTTTTTTCGATGCAGAGTAAAACTTTGTAAATGCTATCCTGTAAGACGGTATGTGATATGCTACATATAAAGAGCTCTACTAAAGAATAATAAATAGTATCCACTAAAAGTTAATAAGTAGTATGTTATACTACAGTATACCACGTCATAGTCACCAACAATATAACATTATATACCAAATGTTCCATGCCGAGTTAGAATCAGAAAATAAAATACGATTATAGAGTCATAGACAAAAAAAGAAGCTGGTACTTACATCACCCTGGCTCAGAGGTACGCGTAGGGTAGGACCGAACGAAAGGCAATGCACAATGATGAGAGCCCATATAAAGTTTGACTAAGAGGGAGGAGACATAGCTCATTTCCCGCAGCAAAACCCCTCGAACCTTCATGCATTGACACCGTGACTGGCCATAAACTGTCTGTTGTGCCGATGCTTTCTCAAAACGCAATTCATCCAGCACAGCAAACCGTGAGCTGCCGCCCAACATAGTGTCGAACGCTACCGCACTATGCATGCTACCGTATTTCGCATGTAGAAAGCTGCACCGGCATATGAGATGCACTTTGATAACTACCAATAAGTGCGCGGCATTTGCCATGGCACTAAATCACATGTAGAGAGATGCAGTACTCAAACCCTTTCAAAACTGATACAAATGCTCACCACTCACTTCATTGCACTTCGTAACCCGCGTTCTCGGGGGTTGGCGCCATTTTGTTTTTGCCGATGGCGCGCACCAAGCCACGGCCAGTTGGCAGGCCACGCCTAAATGACAAAGGCCGCTACCAGACCAAGCACATCAAGAAGAGTGTCAGCGTCGCAAAGAAACTCGAGGTGTTGTCCTTCTGGGCAAATGCGCCGAAGTCCAAGATGAAACATACAATCGCCCATTTCTGGCACGATCTGGCCCCCGAGTTCTATAACTCGAAGCGCACGATGATCCAGCGCTGGCGGCGTGAATCGGCAAAGCTTGAGGCTACTATGAAAAATAGCAAAGGTAAACATTTAAAGGTGCGAAGCTGAGGAGTTGGGACGATCCTCCCACCAGAGGTAGAACTAGAAGTGGTATTCTGGGTGAACAGTTTGCGCAAGGAAGGTGTGCCAGTATCGCCGCGCATGCTGGCCCTACAAGCGCGGCGGGTTGCAGCTGAAGCGGGCATCAGGAACTTCCGATCGTCTGACAAATGGATTCAAGGATTTCGAGGCCGCCATCGCATGAGCATGCGAGTTCCAACTCGTCAAAGCCAAATCAGCCCCGAGGATATTGCCAAGGTTAAAGCGGAGTTTGCAACAGAAGTCGAGAAAATGGCTCGGCAGCTGGGTATTACGCGAATCTACAATGCAGATCAGACATGTTTGTTTTTTATTTATTCTAACTGCGAATGTATATTTTAACTTATGTTCTCTAGCTGCATTTTTTTGAGTATCTACCTACCAAGAAAACAGTGCATGCTCGCGGCGCCAAACTGTGTGGGTGAGATGTGCCGGCTCTTCAAAGGAGCGTGCGACCGTGATGCTACTGGGGGATTCAAGCGGGGTACGTTATACCCCCTTCGTAGTCTTCAAGATGAAGCCATCGAAAAACCCAGCCATTGTCAAGGAGAACAACGAAAAACGATGTGGCTTTGGCACGCAAACGTGACCAGAGATCAGGAAGCTGAAAGCTGAAAGCTGAAACCGGTTTGCAGATTTACGCCAACGGCAAAGGTACGCTTCTTGTTTTTACTTGCTCAAAATGATTTATCTCATTTTCTTTTTATTATTATTGTTTTTCTTTTTAGGCTGGTGGAACAGTGATCTTTCGCTAAGGTTCCTACATTTTCACTTTGGTCACCGCACGTCGCATGCAGAGCCCGTGCTGCTCCTCTGGGATGACTTCAGCGGCCATGGACCGCTGAAGTGCTGGCTTACGCTGCATCTATTAGGGTGGTGCTGCTGAAGGTGCCTCCCCATGCTACGTCTGTTTGCCA